TATGGAACAGTCTTCCAACTTGCATAACTGAAATTAACAAATTTCATCGTTTTAAGGTAGCCGTCAAAAGTCACTTTTTAAGTAGCATCTAAGTGTTTTTCTTAAAATTTCTTGCAAGAAATTTTTATGTTTTAATTTTTTTTATTGTATTATTTTTCGGCTCAGGTTTACTGTTTCATTTTTTGATATTTGTTTTAATTTTTTTATTAAGACTTTAAAAACTTTATCTTTTTTTTAATAGTGCAATCTATGGAATGTTCTTTCCTTACATACTCATAACAACTGTGATAATTTTTTTTTATGTAATGCTTACTTACTATGCACATACTTATTTTTTTAATGTGATAATGACTTTTTATCTACAATACCTTACATCTTAAATTGTGATGATTTCAAATGATATCCTTCATTAATGTGATTAATCTTATAATTTGTGATATTTTTGTTCTTTTATGAAATACCTCTCTATGTCATGCCACCAAATGCTAAGGACCACAATGGAAATAAGAGCTTGCTCTTTTTTGTGTTATCCTTGGTTTTGGGAACATGTCATGGTTTTACACAATATAGTATTAATTCATTTATTTATTTTTTATTTGTAATTGTGTTAATCTATATTGTATTTGTTTGTTTATCATGCCTGCCTGCCTGCCTGCCTGCCTACCTACCTACCTACCCCTCCCTCCCTCTCTCTCTCCCTCTCTCTCTCTCTCCCTCTCCCTCTCCCTCTCTCTCTCCCTCTCCCTCCCTCTCTCTCTCTTTCTCTCTCTCTCTCTCTCTCTCTCTCTCTCTCTCTCATCATCTTGCTAAACGATGCTAAGGTGTTACCTATCTGTCGGCGGCAGACATACAGTTAAAAGTATCACGTACAAACGCCTCAGTTGGGTATAAACATTTAAATGTATCGTGTATATAACTTTAAGAAATAAAAGAAGTATTCAATATTTTCTACTCTGATCTTATGTTACCACTGATTCAAAAGAGCGGTGCTAAGTGCAGCGCTTGTGTGGTTGTGAACATGTTTGCCTCTCAACACAGGAATTATGGGTTCGAGCTCTTTTTGTACACACCATGTTCCCAAGTATGGCACTAGTACTGGTTAGTTCCAGAAATCATGATAAAGGTGATAAATAATAAGTTGCAAGAACTTGTTTCACAATCGAGATTTAATAAATATTTTTAAACTTTATGAAAAGAATGGCGCTTATTTTTGTCCGCTCAAGCATATATATTAGTCAAATGTCGGGATATAATGACCTCAAACTAGTCTTCAATTTCCACAACGGTTTGTTTGCATTGATCTCACGGTATCTCATTTATTCAAAAACTCCGATTACTGATAGGAAAGCAATCAGTGGTGTGATATATGACATGTTTTTAGTTACTTTTTTGTATCTGACAATAAGGCACGTTTCTTGATTTCAACCGAATTAAAGAAGCAACAAAAGTATATAAATTCTCACAAGTAGCAATCTTCTTCCAAGCATATTTTTTATATAACATGTATTGTAGTCCTTTTCTTGTCATATCCTCAGATACACCTAAATGTCTGAAATTGCACAAACTTAACAAAGCATCTTTTAAGAACATGGAGCTAAACAATGGTTTAAGAGTTGCAGGAAAAAGAGATTACATTTTCTTAAGCATTTAAAAGACTCATAATATATTCATATAGCTCTGTAACACACACTTCCTGTTTTTGCCATTATTATTCATCAAGACAAATGGTGATATTCGGCCGTAATTATACCAAGCCGATTTATCTTATATCTTTATTCTATATAATTATACTCAAGATGTGAAGCATGTTCAAATGAAGCATCCAGTATATATTGGAAAACAGATGTTCATAATTTTTCCTAAACGTTTAACTTAGGTGATAATTATCGTGATTATTGAGTGACCTTACATAATTTTACGTATAGGAAAAAATACAAACATTAAACCTAGTTAAAGCAGCATGCCTCCAGACTCATGCTTATTTTCATGAAAATTTTAGAAAAAAATAATGTATTGAAAAGTAAAATATTGTGAGGTGAACAAAGAAAGTAATTTTCACATTGCAAATGGCACTTACAATCCAAGTTTTACTTTAATCTTTCTTATAACTTTATGAACAGAAAGGTTGCAAAATTAGCATCTAATATAATACTTTTGAATTCAGTAAATTTTGTCTTCTTTTGTGTTTGTTAAGATCAACATTTATAGATAATGTTTACTAGGCACCTTATAAGCTGATGATTTTTAAAACTGAGGATAGTATCAAAATAAATCACAGCTATAAGCGCGTATAAAATAGGTATATTGTGATACTTTCCGTACGTTCTGAAGCTCAAATTAGATCGATACGAGCAACACTAATCAGTAACGGAAACAACAAAGGAAATCAGTTTGAGAGTGATAAGTAGATCTTAAGGTAGCTACATTTAATAAGAATATGTTTTTCTATTCTGTTACAAGGTAAAATTAAGTTATTCTACTTAGAGAATTATGAATGAATATAGTTTAAAGCATTAGAATCGGTTCATTATACAATTTACCCTGACTTTTTTGAAGATACTTTGTTAATAGTATCATTTTTTAAATGAACGGTTTCAATGAATATTTCATACCATTCTCTTTGTTGGGTTGGCCTTAAATCCAAAAATAAATCAATGCTCTTTTCGTGTTTTGGTAACCACTGTAAACAAAATATTACAATGCTTTAAGTCTCTTATTAACGTTGTCAAATATATACTTGTATGTATTTGTGGCAGACAAACGCCATGATATATCCCAAATGGTTCTTATCTTATCTCTATTCAAACACTGTATATCAATTCGTAATACTTTCATTACCATACTAAGATACTTTTATATCAATTTCCAAAACCTTTCATTCCTATATTCTCTTTCACTTTCAATTTTCTTCTTTTTCATGTTCAAACACTCTCATAACTATTAAATCCGATTCCTCACACTTACATATCTATATATTCAATTACTTTCAAATTTAAAAAAAAACAACATTCATTCAATTCCCAAAAACTTACATGTTTATTTTCAAATACTTTCATATCAATTAGCAAACACTTTTTATCCAAACACTTCCAAACTTTCAATAACTTTTTCATCCATTGTTATCAATATTCAAACACAGTACATCAATTTTGAAATAATTTCAAAACACTTCCCTATCCATTCGTATCCATCTTCAAACGCTGTACATCAATTTCCAAACACGTTTATAACAAAATTCAAACACTCATCAATTTCTAAAAGAAATTCATGCCTATATTCCAACACATTCCAACACTTTCTAATCCATATTCGAACACTTTCATAACAAGATCTTAACACTTTTGGATCGATTTCAAATATACACATATCTATATTCAAACACTTTCAAATTTCAAAACACATTCATATCCATTCTCATCCGTATCGAAACACATTCAAACACTTTCTTATCCATATTCAAACACTCTTATAGCCATATCTAAACACTCTTATATTGACTTTAAAAAAACTTACACATCTATATTCAAACACTCAAATTTCAAAACAATTTCGTATCCATTGTTATCCGTATCGAAATACCACTGTACTACAATTTCTTTAAAGGCCTCACAACTATATTCAAACACTGATCAATTTCTAAAATATTTCATTCCTATATTCAAAAACATTCAAACACTTTCTTATCCATAATCAAACACAATCAAACACTTTCTATTCCATAATCAAACACATTCAAACACTTTCTTATACATATTCAAAAAAATTCATTACAAGATTATCTGAATCGATTAAAAAAAACTTAAACATCTATATTCAAACACATTCAAACACTTTCTATCCATATTCAGACACTTTCAATACCATTTCTAAACACTTTTATATCAATTTCCAAACACTTTTATATCAATTTCCAAACACTTTTATATCAATTTCCAAAAAATTTAATTCATATATTCAAACAATTTCAAACACTTTGTTATCTATATCTAGACACTCTCATAATCATGTCTATATACTTTTATATCTATTTCCAAACAATTTTATAGCTATATTCAAACACTGTCAGTAGACCATCTAGCGGAAACCTTTGACATGTCGTAGTTGCCTCAACTGAACCACAGATCATACCCACTTCCCTAGCAATGCTTCGCAGGTCTCGCTTCTGTCGCACCTGGCCATATCGTGCACAGCTTCGGCAGTTTCATCGTTGGTGCCCTTTTTTGGTCGCCTAGGCCGCTCATCATCTCCAATGCTCTCTCTGTCCCTCTTTAATTCAGCAGCCCATTTTTTTCACAGTGCTATAGGAAGGGAACTCCTTTCAAAGAGTATCGTCTTGAAGTTCATGGATTTCCTTGGGTGACATCCCTTTCTTACAGAGGTACTTAATAACGGCTTTGATTTCAACTTTCTCCATCCGGTCTAAATGACACACCCCTCTTCTTATCAAAGTGTGTTTTACGTCACTTAATATGTGGTGTAAAATCGCGTGTTACTCGTCAGTTATCCTTAATAAGATGTCGGTCTCGACATATCGTGTTTTGATGTCAGTATAGTGGCTAGAAGTATATCGGGCCGAGAACATCGTAAACCACCGGTCAATTGAAATTTCTGTCCCCATTGTGTGATATAGGGCAGTCGGAATTTTGAATGGATAGCTAAAGCCATGTCAAAGGTCCTGTCAGAAAGTTAATTTTCCATCCAAATAATGGGCGTATTTGTGAATAATTTTGCACCAAAACGAAACCACACAGTAACCCTAAAAAAGGGACATATTACAGGTAAAAACTTCCACCGCACTTTCCCTTGTTTCGGATTGGAGCCGGGTCTACAATATTACATACTGGTGCATTTTAATGTTTTTTGTAGCTCTACTTATACGTAAAGTAATTTACCTAGTATAAAGTAGATATTAACTGTTTTCACAATTTCGTGATCATGTCACATTTCGTCATTATTGACTTAAGCTGATTCATTTGGTTTGTATCTAAGAATCAATCGTACACAGATGTCGCCTAACCTGCATAATATAAACCCCAGGTTAAAATGAGACAGTCTGTCACGTGACTACTCAATTAGACGGGTTTATAGCTTTTAATGCTAGGCGACATATTCTTACCTGGCGTTCATTAGGATTGGTTTGACATTGTATTATGGCGGTAAGATGATTTTATTTACAAGTATTATTTCTTTTTTATTCATTTTGATTACTCTATAAGACTTAGCGTAGAGAAAGCTATTTGATTTTTATCTTTTTGTTGGATAAAATATATCATTAATTTGTGAGTTTCTTAAAACTACACGTTCATAAGTTTCTGTCAGTTGCCGATGTTTAAACGAGAAATATGTAAAAAATATAAAGCATTATATAAACTTTGCAATGACAGTATGTTACGTGCGACAGGCGGTTAGAATGATATTGATTTAACATTGCGATTTTATATAAAGTAACATTATAGAAAATAATACTAGGATTTTTTCTGTAAAATGAATTTAATTATCTTCAAAATTTAAGTTATTGCAATGTAGGATCTTGTATGATGGAAGTGATTGTTTATTTTTTTTCTTTCTTTCTTTTCTTTTTTTAAAGTATACATATAATTATCATTTGTTTAGGTCCATGGCTATTTGATGATTGATGATTTATGTATTGATTTCTAAAATGATTATTTGTGGTTCAGACCCGTTCTTGATTTGATTTCTTCGTAACAAAAATCCCAGTTAATGATATTTATATCAATGATATTTATTTTTTGGATATGAAAGTGTTTTTTTAACCAAACTGCTTTAATTAATACCCCTTCTATGCACAGCCGGCAGTATCAGTGTTTGGACACCCCAAAAACAACAGCACTACAGAGTGGAAGGGGGGTTTATTGGGGGATTTAATCACTTGACTAACAAGCTTAGGGTATAAAAAGAAAATCCCAACTATTGCTGGGGGATTTACTGATAAATAAGGAAAAAAAACAATTACGGTGACTCAACTTTCCGACTTCCCGGATGACTAAAAAAAAACTTAAACGTCAATCATTCACGGTTCAACGTATTAAATTTGACAACGCAAACCATTAAAATTCCGGGAAGTTGGGAGTATTCTTTTTCAAGTAAGATACATTTCTAAGATCTAAGGAATTTCTAATTAGAGCTAATGGAAACATTTTAGTGGACGGAAACGAAAGACATGTTCACCAATAAGCGACATATTGGAAAGAAACGTGCTCACTAATAATTTCCGTGCTTGCATATTTTTATTTTTTTCTGCCATAAATTAGATAAATTCTAAACGGAGTCTACAAGGTTTTTTTTTATTGAAATAACGTGACTATAAATATTTTTTCAAGATTTGTGTACCATTTGACGTTGGTTTGGAACAATAACTTGAGGGCAAAAATTTCAATTATTCCCTCATACAGTTTTTCAAGAATAATCATTTTAATTCTGCAATGAGACCCGTAAATGTATAGCGTTGGAAAGATTTTCACTCCAATCGCGCTAAAATTTTCACACAAGATGGATATTCAATTTAATTCTGAATATATCTCTGTAGTAGCATATGCAGAATTTTCCCCCATTGAAGTGCCTCACTTAATCGATATATAAGAATTTCAAAGTTTTGTGTTTCGGGAATGTTTGACCCCAATGGAGCTTCTTTTAATTGAATACTTGGTCTATTCAACAATAATAAGAACGAGTCGTATGTTTTACATTTTTACCGGATCTGACTTTTTTCACTACATTATTTTCCTCAATACTCCGATTACATATGTGTATGTATGATATTTTGTTCACTAAATCTTTATTGTTGCGATGTTTAAATAATGAAAATTGCGGAGTATGGTTTATGCACGTTAAAACAGGGTTTTAACAGAATATCAAGTCCAAATTTGACTAGTAGACATTCAGGAAAACAAAATTCACAAAAATGGTATGGAGAGTGGTATAAGTCCGAATGAAATGCTGTAGTCGCAAGTTCGAACATTATTTCTTTGTAATACAGCTCATTATCTTTTATTAGCGCGCGGAATTCTTAGCCTTTTGGGATGAAAGTGGCCTGTAAGTAGATATATGGAAGAGACTGAGTTTTCTTCATGAGAAATGAAATACATATAAAGATACCCAAGATCGCAAAGGTTGAAGCTGAAAGGTCGCGACTAAACAGTCAGTTCATTTGACAATTAAAGGAGATTTTTTCAGAATATGATATTCTGCAACTGAAACCAGACGCCAACGGACGTCAGGGATGGCCAGTAAATAATGTGAATGTTTATGCACATGTGGTATTCTAGCACATAGAACAGTTGTCTAATTGTGATTAGTTATATCGCCAGGCAAGTGTATGGGATGCTCGTTATTACACCCGATTTATTCAATTTCTCCGGACCATAATATTAAAATGTTAAAGGGACGAAACTCCCGGTAAGAATGTTGCTAAATAAAACTTTAAATTATTTTGATATGTTACAGAACTGTCACAAAATACAGGTTTCTTCATAAAAATGATTTCATACACGCAGGAAAAATATAAGCCTGTGCGGAAAAATGCGCATGCGCAAAAAATAGCAAATCTCGTTTTATCTGCTGTTGTGAATTTCAGTTGTCAATCTTTCCTCGGAATTTGCCATTATTTCTTTGAATTAATTGCATACTGTCGTGTAGACATCGTGCATCAAACAGAGAATAATGTATCTTATGATTTGAGAAAACCGAATACTTAAAAGAAAAAAGAAATACGCCATTGGAGTACTGATCAGCCAATGACTTGTTTCGTGTATATATAAAATAACAGCTACTTATCAAATAAAAACTTTACTGTAATGTCGCAGGTGCACTGAAATAAAAGTGTAATAATACAAAGATTTATAACGTCTTTATTGAAAATCTTGCACGTGTGAAATAGAAAATTTGTTCATGAACATCTGCAGGAGTAAAGCCAGGGCCCACATGGCGATGCATTGAATAATATCGGAGGCTTCTGTAGTTGTCTACGTGCGCAAAAATGTGCAATATCTTTGCATAAAAATACTACGCGTTTCGTTCATTGTTTTTCGTATGTACAAATAAAGAAACCTTCAGATATCTTCAATATGTTTGTTTTACACGTATGATTAACTTTGAAATTACAGGAGCCGTCATTGCAATCCAAGCCGCGCCGAGTCAAGTATATTGAAACATGCAAGCCGCCCCGAGTCAAGTATATTAAAACATGCAAGCCGCCCGAGTCAAGTATATTAAAACATGCAAGCCGCCCCGAGTCAAGTATATTAAAACATGCAAGCCGCCCCGAGTCAAGTATATTAAAACACGCCAAAAGAAACGTCGCATGCTCCCCTGATGTTATACGTTAATGTGAAGCTTCGTGCGCATTTTTATGCAAGAATAAAGAATTATCATTCATTTAATCGTTGGATCACTTTTGGCATGTACATGTACTGAAGACGGCGTAGCTTTGAGTAGACGACTTTATTATTCTTGTGCCTGCCAATATAAATTAGGTCAGAATCCACCGTATTTTTCCCCTCCCATTTTATATAACACCGAAACAAGTCTATTTTAATACATACAACTTCAAGATGCCCATTGTGTTTCGCAAGTCACGATTCTCTTATTTAACATGCATTTAACTTTGAAACACGGGAGATGAAGACCGATGATAAAGGGTTAAAAATAAAGCATTCCCGTTACCATGGTTATTGGAAAATCATATAGTTTATCGCTAAATTTATACATAATTACACTGACTGCTATTTACAATCGCTCAATAATGATAAAGCGGACAAGAGCACGTTATTTTCCTATATTTTATTGCTTTCCACATGGGAGATGCAGTTGATGCAATTTAATCAAGTGGTCATATTTCGCACAATCATTTCTAAACCTGAAATTAAAACAAAAATTAATCACAATTCTCCCTCCAGATTGCTGTTAGATAATCAATACAACAAATTTACGTTTTAAAAGCATATTAAAATATAAAGCTTACATCTTTTTTGTTGTACACTGATAACATTACGTCATCACTTAAATTCAGCCAAACCGGTACATCCAAATTAGTTTGTCCAGACTTGTTCGTGTTGGCATCTTCAACTTGAAATACCTTAGACTTACATACAAGTAACATTTCTAATGAGACAGGATTGGACTATTAATGAACAACTTTGTTTTTGTTTTACAGACATGTAATATTTGCTAAAAGTTGTTTTTGACCTTCCGGTTATTTTAAGAAAACTAGATTTAATATATATCGTAGTAAAACCTTCCATTTAATCCAATCATGCCAGGAATAAAAATAATGACGGAGAAATTCTCCCTTATTCTTCTCTTCTTTCTGTCTTTCTTTTTTATGCTCCCCGAAAAATTTCGGGAGAGCATATAGTCGCCGGATTGTCCGTCCGTCCGTCCATCCGTCAGTCCTTCCTTCTGTAAGTTCGTACGTCCCGAATTCGTGTCCGGCCCATAACTTCGTTATTTGAAGTCGGATTGTACAACTTTTTCACACAAATGATCACAATATTGAGACGACGTGTCGCGCGCAACATTTGGGTCGCTACCTTGAAGGTCAAGGTCACAGCATGACCTTGCAGCAAAATAGTGTCCGGCCCATAACTTTGTCATTTGAAGTCGGATTTTACAACTATTTCACAGATGTGATCACCATATTGAGACGATGTGTCGCGCACAATATCTGGGTCGCTACCTTGAATGTCAAGGTCACAGCATGACCTTGCAGCAAAATCGTGTCTGGCCCATAACTTTGTTATTTGAAGTCGAATTTTACAACTATTTCACAGGAATGATCACCATATTGAGACAACGTGTCGCGTTTAACACTTGGGTCGCTACATTGAAGGTCAAGGTCACAGCATGACCTTGCAGCAACATTGTCGAAGTTGAGGTAAATCAACATAGAACGATTTAAAGAAACTTTCTTGGGCCACATGAGATAGTCGTAAATCATAAAATTTTAAAGGATTTTTTTTATTTTCACCTGTTCTATTACAAATAACATCTTGTTGGGTATTATGTCACTTTAATGTTGGTTTGTAGCGGAAATAAGCTTCGAGAAAACTTTAATTTGCCGGGTATATGATAACATCTATTGTTAAGCAACAAAAAATAGTTCCGTTTAAACGTAAATTTATACCATTATTTTTCCCAGATTTTCTCACGCATAGATTTTATTTATTTGTATGCCTTTAGAAGCTGGTATAATGCTCTTATATATACTTTGACGTACATAACAGACTCTACTTATATCTGCGAATGTACGATAAGTTGAGAACTAATATGCTAATAAGGGAAATTACTTTAAACTGTTATAACTTTGATCAATTTAAGCGACGATGTGAAGATACTCGTCATTCGTTGTAGAAGTTATTTAGCTAGTTCCTTTAACAATACAGAAGTTATTAAGCTAAATTTATATAACAATGTAGAAGATACTGAGCTTAATTACTATAATTACAATGTAGTAGTTATTAGTCTAGTTTCTTTAAAAATGTAGAAGTTATAAGGCTTAGTTTCTATAACAATATAGAAGTTATTAAACTTAGTTTCTATAACAATGTAGAAGTAATAAAACTTGTTTCAATGACATTATGGAAGTTATCAAGCTCAGTTTCTATAACAATGTATAAGTTATTAAGCTTGTTTCTATAACGATATAGAAGCGATTAAGCATATTTCTACAACAATATATAAGTGATTAAGCTATGTTTCTATAACACTGTAGAAGTTATAAAACTTAGGTTTTATAACAATGTAAATTGTTAACCTAGTTTCTATAACAATGTAGATGTTATTAAGCTTAGTTTTAATAACAATGTGGAAGTTATCAAGCTTAGTTGCTATTTCAATAAAGCAGTTCTTAATCTTTTTTTCATTACGATGTAGAATTCATTACGCTAGTTGTTTACGATATGTAGCAGCTATTATGCTTAGTTTCTATAACAGTGTGGTGTTTTGAAATATTTAAAAATGGTACAGCTTATTTTGTATAACAATGTAGTGTATAACAATATGCAGAAGTTATAAAGCTTATTTACTATAACAATGTAGTGTATAATAATATGTAGATTTTATTAAGCTTAGTTTCTATAACAATGTAGTGTATTACGATATGTAATTTTTTTAAGCTTAGTTTCTATAACAATGTTGTGTCTAATAATATGTAGATTTTATTAAGCTTAGTTTCTATAACAATATAGTGTATTACGATATGTAGATTTCATTAAGCTTAGTTTCTTTAACAATGTAGTGTATGACAATATGTAAATTTTTTTAAGCTTAGTTTCTTTAACATTGCAGTGGTTTACAAAATGTAGAAATTATAAAGATTAGTTTCTATAACAGTATAGTGTATTACAATATATAGATGTTATTAAGCTTTGTTCATACTTAAAAGTTATTAAAATTTATTTCTTTCCCAAAGCTGTTTTTCTTGCAACCTATATGCATTATTCACATAATGTGAAATTCTATGGCATTATTAACATATATCGGTAATATATGAATTGACTCAAAATGATATATGTAGATAAACCGTTAAATGTGTATAACACACAATGATTATTATCATTATTACAATGTTTAAGATGTCTGGTGACTTATAGGCCCATGGGGAAGAATGCTAAGTTATTTTCTCTTGTATATATGTAATGTAATAGATATGCATATCTCACGATAATAAAATATTTACTTTCTTTTTGCTATTGCGATGTAAAGTTATATGATACAAATATTTTTGCGTAAACTTTTAAATGTAAGTACAACTAAACTGAAGTTGCATATATTGTAAAACTGAACTTCCCGGTCAAAATAATGTTAGAAAATTCAGTAATAAATACCTTACAAAGCTATGAAGCTACTAGCATTGGCATTTATTAAGTATTAATTACATTCACTATTGAAAAAAACAACACTTTTCACGGCAAATATTTTAAAGCTTTATACTACTTCATCGAAGAGTTTCATTCAGGAAGTCTCCCCGACGGAAATGCAAAAACCGGAACTGATATTGACATGTAGATAACTTTGATTAAAGTTAACAAAGAAAAATTCTGGTCAGGCTGTTACCTGTGTAAACTAAACTGCTAACTTGAGACACATTGCATTACTATGGATTACCGTTAGGGCCATCGTGGTTACACTTTATAATCCAGAGAGCGACAATTCGACAGTGCGATAGTGCGATGACGACATTACGACAGTGCGATGACGACAATTCGATAGTGAGATGGCAACAACGCGATATTACTGTCGCACTATCGTAGCATCGCCATCGAATTACCGCACTGTCGCCATCGCATTTTCGCCATGGTATTATCGCATTGTCGAATTATCGTACTGTCGTCATTGCGTTATCGCACTGTCGCCATCGCACTATCGCATTGTCTTCATCGCATTGTCGTCATCGCACTATCGCACTGTTCCATTGTTACCCTCTGTATTTTAACGTATAACCACGATGGCCCTAACGATATTCTGTGTATTGCTGATGTGAAACAAGTAATTGCTCAACAGTCCGTCATCTGCTGTGATCTGATAAGATAGAACATACTACAATATTATGGTGATCATTACATGTTTACAGGAATTGTATCTAATCGATACGTAGCCGTATGTAAACAATGACGTGAACTATCATGTTAAAAACTATGTGTTCAGGCAATACGCAAGCTGTGCATCTTAATCAATTTAGAACACTAAAATAGATATTCAGTTGTAAATAAGATACATGTATATCAGTTTGAATTATTTTGTTGTTGTTCTTGGGGTTATTTTTAGGGATTATTTTCTTGTTACATTTTTTTATTATTTGATTTTTTATTGGCGGGCGTTTGAGGGTTTTGTTGTTGTTGTTGAAGTTCGTTCGTTTTGGCTTTAAAACAAATAACTATGATTTACTAGGTTCATTACAATTTGAAGGTGAACAATGTTATCTATGCGATTGCACCAACACGTTTCTGTCATTCTTTTTTTTTTAAATTCACTAACAGCTTCACATTTATATAATTTATGTCAACTCTTTATTTTCTTAATTTTTAGGATTTGTTCGTAAGATTTATAAAAGTTTTGCTTTCTGAATTTTCATTTGTTTTTTTTTTCTTCATCTGTATTAATCTTGAAAGGTTTTGCTAATTTGTATATTAGCATTTGATATTAATCTATCAGTACTTGAAAGGTTAAAATTTAACACTCGCCTTCTGTAGTAGCAACAATGGATTTTTTTGTCTGAGGATCGAGCTAACGTGTCTTTGGTTAATGTGAAGACATCATCTTATTTCCTTGTATATCAAACAATTACTTTGAAAATGTTGCCCTTTCTCAAGGGACTTTTTTATTTATTTATTTTTTATCATTTGAATGCAAGTCCTTTTCTCATAAACGTTTTTTTTAATACCTTGTGATACCTTGTGAAATATGGGAAACTTTATTAGTATTACGCTATTAGGTCTTGCGTAATACGATTGATTATGAAGATTAAAGTAATGACTATTGTCAAGAGATTGTGTTGCCTAGCAACTGTTTTGCGGCGCTATGTTCTATGATGTGATATAATTGCTTTGTGGTACAGAGCCACGATAAAACCTTCAAAATAAGAGCTCTGGAAAACTTATAGTCTTTGTGTTGAGATCTGTTTTGGATAATTGTTTCATACAAATTTCATATAAACAAGCAGCTTCATTTTAAAACCAAATGAGCCACGTCATGACAAAGCCAACATAGTGTGTTTGCAACCAGCATGGATCCAGACCAGCCTGCGCATCCGCGCAGTCTGATCAGGATCCATGCTGTTCGCTTACCAACAATATTACAAGTAGAGAAACTGATAGCGAACAGCATGGATCCTGATCAGACTGCGCGGATGCGCAGGCTGGTCTGGATCCATGCTGGTCACAAACCCATTATGTTGGTTTTGTCGTGACGCGGCTCAAATAAGTATTTTCCCAGTCTGTTCCTGACGTATGATCATAGCATATTCTCTTGCGACAGAAAGCTAAAGGGCAAGGTCACTAGCACATATGGTTGGTTTTTTGTTCTTTATTTCAACTATTCACATAAAATCTAACCAAATGAAAGGAAAGCCTTCATTCACAGTTTGATATTTTCTCTCCACTGTCCAATTTACTATGTTTGAAGTTGAGTAAGTGAAAATAAATCTATAAAGTGCGTCGTAATTTCCATACATTTTAAAAGTCGTTGCAAATATACACGTATATCACATATCCTATAATGAATAAATAAGACATAACCCTTTGCGTTGCACATAGGGTTTACATTTTCATAAAGCTGCATTTTTGTAACATCAAGTGTAATTCGATAATCATGATTTATATTAAATCTTTATAAAAAGCTTCTGTAAGTTTTGTGTTTCCCTTTAACAAAGGAATCTTGGTCTATAAAAGGTCTCTGACAGGTTATATGGCCAATATTATCGGTTGCATGTTTATATGATCCGAGGATATGAATGAAATGTTATACAATGCAGAAAACAGATATGCCTAACAAAGCAAGTGCACAAATTAGTATTTAAGTGACATTCTGCAGTGCATGCTTTTCTCTTTCAATCGGCTTCCGCTTTAGTTTACTTACCTAAGAACTGTGTTTTGTGAGATTTCGGTAATTGCATGTACGAATGATTAGATTTATCCACATGTAAGCCTAGAACACATTAAGTAAATAAGATTGGATTATTATTTAGTGGATCAAACTTTCCTTTGGACTATGTTTTGGTGTTATTGTTTGTGTAATTTGGAAAGTATGTTAAAATTGCTTTTGTAAATCAACAGGCAGAATAACTAACTCATATAATTCATTTTAATGTATTTCAGGGACAGGTATTAAGACAGAGTTGTGCTTTACTGGCAGTGTTGTGTGTGATATATCAGGCAACGGCTGAAGGTAATCACTCGAAAATGAACTTTATAGCCACTCAATGACACTTTGTTATATTTTTGAACTTTTTTTTATTTATATCATCAAATCTTATAAGAACTATAAAGTTCATATGGAACGTCAAAACTGCCTTTTGTTCACAGGTACTGATGTGATTGCTTTGTTTATCCATTATTTATGTTTGTTTGATATGTAAAAAGTTATAAGCTTAAGGACACTCTCGATTCCGTTCCTGAAACCAACCGGTAGTAAAAAATAAATGTACAATTTTGTGTGTGCGTGTGTGTGTGTGTGTGTGTGCGTGTGTGTGTGTGTGTGTGTGTTTTTCTTTTGATTAAATGAACAACGACCTGCCCCTTAACGGGTCTGAACACAAGCTTCTCGTGAACCTTGAATTTCAATTCAATATCGTTAACCACTCGGGAATGCCGCCACAATTTTGTTACTTGGCAGTTCGTTGAGTCGAGCCGGCATTATGTGGAGTAATATGAGAATTATGATAGTAATGCTATAAAGAGGCAAGTCTACACTAAGTCTAAAAAAATTTATGATATGGTTTTATGATATTAGTCAAGGTGGTGGCTGTATATTGGGTCAAACTGGCTTAAGGTCGATTCTTAACTGCTGAAAGTTGGTTCAAAATTGCATTTCGTTTTGTCCGGATGGTATAATAATAAGTCATATCGACATTATGTTGGTGAAATAACCAAAATATTGAGCTAATTACGGTTAAAGGTGAGCCAAGTTGGCATTCTGTTTGGTCAAAAAGCAATTTAATTGTATTAAGTTGGCCTAATAGTCGGTCAAATTATCAAAAGCTTGAGTAAGAATCCCATTAGTTTCAGTAAAGTTTTTTTATGTGTCAGATAAGCATTATGTTGAATCATTTTGAGTCAAGTTTGCTTAAGGTTGTATCCATTTTTATTTTGTTTGGCAATTTATGATGATACATGATGCTTAAATTGCTTTCAAATGCTCAGGAACGATGCCAGAATATGCAAACTGGTCTGATTCTATTCTTTAAACACATAACGTCAATAGCCATACATCAGTACTAAGAGAAAAGATAAAGTATCAGTAATTTAATTATAATTACGTGTACTTGTATACTTTGTTTTCTTTTTATTCTAATTTCTTATCGCATGATTATGCACCTTCCCAAAATTAAAATATGAACCAAAATGATTAATGTTTTCAATTGACCTTTCCAGTGTTACATGTTCATGCAAATTGGCTGAATGGCTTCCCTTGGACAACACATACCCTGGTTGACCTGGTTTACACAAATGACACAATTGTTTTTTGTGATAATTTTAGTGAGAAATTTACCTGGAATTGGACAGAAACGTCGAGGCTAAATTTTCACAGTACTTTAATTCGAAAGGGAGTAAATGCGACATTTTTTATCAACGCATTGTTGTGTCGTCATCGCATCGTTAATGATAACATAAAGAGTATGTTAGATTATAACGATGATGACGATGATGATAATGATGTTGTTCATGATAATGCTAATGATCATGATGATTATAATTGTGATGCTAATAATAATGGTTATGATGGTATTATAAGTATGCATAAGAATTAAATACAATGAAAACACACGCAAAAGAAATAGATAAAACACTTGTTGTTTCAGATATCAGCGCAGTGGCCTGTAACCCCGATTCAGGTGGAACAGCCGAGTGCGCAGCTAAGGACTCCAACGCAGAATGTAAAACTGGCGAAGTCAAGTGCTCGTGTGCTGCTAATTACATTTTCAAAACTGATAAATCAGCATGCACAGCAAGTAATGCGGACTTTTCATGAGATATGATCAATTTAAAGGGTTACATTATGACTTTCAATATATCGAGATAGCACACCATCAGTTTGCATATATATTCAGGCTAGAAATTGCACCTACCTAGAAACCACAAACCTTCCGTTTATCATGAATGCTCTCTTATGTGTAAAAGTAAAAATACTATACGACGTGATTCGAAGTCATAAAAGATCGAGTCTGTATTCTTCAACTCTTTTTTCCGATTGGTTTATAGCGAATTTATTTTAGTTCGATTGTATAGGATGCTATAAGCTTGTATCCGTCCCTGGAACTAACTAGTACTGAGCAATGAGTAAAGTGTCTTGCTCAAGGAAACAACGGCTTGCCCCTGATTGGGTTTGAACCCATGCAGCTAGCGATCATTAGATTACTAGTCCAACACGTTAATCACTCAGCCCTGCCGCCACTGAATTTGAAGGATATCTTAATTTCTTTACTCTCAACAGCAGTAAGTAAGTGTTATTCAACTGTAAAAAGTAGCCAAATACTTCATACTTTTGTTGTTGAAATATTTTTCTTTTCCAACGGGAAGATTTATTCCAATAGTTATTGCAGCAGTGTGAACATTGATTAACCCGGTGTTGGAGGGTATTAGAGATATTTCACCTTCAATTATCTTTTATAAACATGCCCTTCAATACATTTTTTCATACTCTTTGTTCAGTTATCTCTTGTGATATACCCTCTCCATTATAGATATTAATCTATGATTGCATCTATTGCAGCAATTAGTTCGGTGTCATGTAATCCTACCAGCGATGGGACTGCAACTTGTGTAGCTGTCAATGCCAATGCTGAATGTAAAACAGATGCTACGACATGCTCGTGTAAAGATGGATATGTACAAGACCCAGACACAGAAAATGGTTGCATGAAAGGTTGAAATATTAAAAACAACATTACAGTATTGATAAAGAATGTCAAAACATTATTATCATTAATTGTGTTATAACAAGAACATTCGAGGTGTTTATCAAATATCCAAATGATCACCGTATGCCTATTTCTCACTTTGTTTTCTTACGTTTTAGTTATATATAAGGAGAAAGGTATGCCGTTGCCTAAGACCCGGGTTCTTCAAAACTGAAGTTTAAAATACTTAAGATCAACATAGGAATGATACAAATTTCAAGATGTTTTCCCCGAATTTTAATCATGATTTTAACACTGACCTTTTATCATTTAAATAGACACAGCTGTTGGCAAGGCATGCACGAGCAATGCTGACTGTGCCGCTGATACTAACTCTGAATGCACGGATGACACCTGCTCATGTAAAATGAATTACATGGAAATGGACAGTATGTGCGAGAAAAGTAGGTGTTTTTTTGTATTGTGAAAAGAGTGTTATTTTTGATTTATTGTTGCAGCTAAGTAAATTCTTTGTAAACTGTATAAAAAAGGTGCATAAGCAAAGAAAATGCTTTATCAACTGGAAAAAGGTTCATTAGCAAAGTAACTGCCTTATTAACTATAAAAAAAGGGTGCATAAGCAAAGTAAATGCTTTATTCACAGTATAAAAAGGGTGCATGAGGAAAATAAATGCTTTATTAACTATATAAAAAGGGTGCATAAGCAAAGTAAACGCTTTATTAATTGTAAAAAGGGTGCATAAGCAAAGTTAATGCTTTATTAACTATATAAAAAGGATGCATAAGCAAAGAAAATGCTTTATTAACTATAAAAAGGGTACATAAGCAAAGTAAATGCTTTATTAACTGTATAAAAAGGGTGCATAAGCAATGAAAATGCTTTATTAATTATAAAAAGGGTGCATAAGCAAAGTTAATGCTTTATTCACTATCTAAAAAGGGTGCATAAGCAAAGTAAATTCTTTATTAACTATATCAAAAGGGTGCATAAGCAAAGGTAATGCCTTAATAACTGTATCAAAGAGGGAACATAAGCAAAGTAGTCCTTTATTAACTTTATCAAAAGGGTATATAAGCAAAGGAACTGTATTAAAGAGGGAACATAAGCAAAGTAAATCCTTTATTAACTTTATCAAAAGGGTGCATAAGCAAAGAAAATGCTTTATTAACTATAAAAAGGTCACATAAGCAAATGAAATGCTTTATTAACTGTATAAAAAGGGTGCATAAGCAAAGAAAATAAATGCTTTATTAACTGTAAAAAAGGTGAATAAGCAATGAAAATGCTTTATTTACTATAAAAAGGATGTATAAGGAAAGTAAATTCTTTATTAACTATATCAAAAGGGTGCATAAGCAAAGGTAATGCTTTAATAACTGTATAAAAGAGGGGACATAAGCAAAGTAAATCCTTTATTAACTTTATAAAAAGGGTACATAAGCAAAGAAATTGCTTTATTTACTGTATTAAAAAGGTGAATAAACAATGAAAATGCTTTATGTACTACAAAAAGAGTACATAAACAAAGAAAATGCTTTATTAACAATATAGAGCATTGTATGAGCACTGTCACTTACTGATCGTCCATGTACAAATAATCAAAGAGTTTAATTTATAGTTAAAAAGTTGGTTCTGTTGTTTGATATTTTAGTAAAATGAGTTGTTGCTCTACTGTTAAAACAAACAGTGTGCATTATCAAAGTGAAAAACTTGATAACTGTATAAATATTTGGCAAGCAAAGTAAGCGTCTGCTTAATTGTTTAACTTGTTAGTAAAGTAAGACCTATTAGGGACACGACTATATTTCCTCATATGATACCTGTATAAGTTAGTTCAAGGACGTGTTCAAATTAAATTAAAGTTTTTGTCGAGTTTTAACTTCTTTGAATTTACAATGGAATTGTCAATGTTACAAAGTGACTTCCGTGCTTTACTGGCGGAGATGCTCCACAAAGTGTCTGTTTTCAGTGAACACTATTCTGTACTAACAGAATGTGCGATTAACTTAAATGTCTGTCCTACTGTACAAACAGTATGTGCGAGCATGTAAGTGTCTGTCCTACTGTATAAACAATACTTGCGTGCAGAAAATTGTCTGTTCTACTTTTCTAACAGTGTGTGCGAGCAGATAAATGTCTGTCCTACTGTATAAACAGTATGTGCGAACAGGTAAGTGTCTGTCCTACTGTATAAACAGTATGTGTGAGCAGATAAATGTCTATCCTACTGTATAAACAGAATGTGCGAGCAGATAAATGTCAACTGCATGTGTGAGCAAACGAAATGATAATATTATCAACGGTATTTGAGATCAAAATACATGATATAAGCAATGGTATGTGTGAGCAAAAGAAATGATATGATAAACGGTATGTGTGAGCAAAATTAATGATAATATATGATAATATTATCAACGGTATGTGCGAGCAAAAAGAAATGATATAATCTAAGGTCCAAGGTCTGTGTGAACAAATACATGATCAACTAAACGGTATGTGTGAGCAAAAGAAATGATAATATAATAAACGGTATGTGTGAGCAAAAGAAATGATAATCTAATAAACGGTATGTATGAGCAAAAGAAATGACAATGTAATCATTTGTATATATGAGCAAAGACATGATATGATAAAAGGTATGTGTGAGCAAAAGAGATGATTATATAATTAACGGTATGTGTGAGCAAAATAATTTTATGTGTTTGCTTTACTGCGTATACTTAGCTCTTTTACCTGCTTTTAGAACACTCATGTGAAAGTGTAAAAAATTTCGATATACAAAACATTACAAGATTCAAGCTTTCAACAGTATAGAGTATTATTAGACTGTACAGATATGCAAGCTTGTCTGGCTTTTTGCTGCTGGCAAAGGGTAATAACTTGAGGTTTTGGCAGATTGAGGGTTAACTTCTTATAGCATGTTATTTTTATTATAAAAATATATACATATAATGTGAAATGTTATCAAAAATAAGGCAGCAAAAGTATTTCTCTATGTTAATTACATTAATTGAAATTAAAGTGGAAAAAACACACAGTTATCTTGTCTATACAGAAGTAACCCATGTGTTCAAGTGTTGTTATTGGTCATATAATTAGTGTTGTTGTTTTTACACATTTTCATGATCTGATTTCTTTTACAGTTTTAGGAAAAGCATGTACAGCTGCTAACGAAGCCACCGTCTGCAAGGTTAACAATTCAAAATGCGAATCAGACACGTGTCAATGTACGACAGGATACACTGAGGCAACAGCAATGTGTTCCATGGGTATGTTTCTATAAATAGTAACAAAAGAATAGGTTAAAGGAGAATCCCTATAAAAAGTACAAAACAACAAAATTGAAAATGTTGCAGGCTCCTGTCCATGGACACAGACGCTTGGGGGTCAGATTCTGCCCGCTCCCCAACGTGATACGCCCCTGTAAACCCTCTATCAAAACTATTTTAATATTTAAACACGAATGGGACATCTATTACATCATAAAACTGGTTTTCAAACAATGTTTACATATATGAAAAAATACAGTATACCATCAAGTCTTATGTGAAAAATGATGAACATTTTTATACGCCTGTGTCGAACATTTTTAAGACTAAATGTAAGATAGGTCAAACTAAACTTGAATGTATGAATAAAATGGGCTATGTTTCTGCATCAAAATTAAAGAAATAATTTATTTTATGTTTACAGTTCTGGATATGACATGTGCACAAGATTCAGATTGCTCCACTAAGATGACAAATACCGCATGCAAAACCACCAAATGCGCATGCGCAGATAACTACGTAAAGGAAGGTGTCTTCTGCAAGAAAGGTATGTATCATAAGTCTGTCAATCACAAGTATACGCACACACTTAAGAGACTATTTCAAGTTACCTATCTGATATTAATGATTAAGTTGGTGCTTATACATCTATTATGCTTTTGTTGTTTGTCTTTCTCAACGTCTGTTGGTCGTTAGATATCTTCATTTAGTAAGCTAAAAACGACATGACAGTTGTGTCTGTGCATATCTTACTATCTATCTCCCTTTTATATACATTTACATGTGTTTGTCTATTTAATGGTCACCAATTATTACCAAAGTTCCAAGTTCAAATTTTAATTACCAATTAGGATATGTATCCTGCTTTTTTTTAAATTTTGCCTTTTGACGACTGTGATATATAATTCATAACATCTGATCCTCTCATAAAGATCCTATAACTCAATTTGTTTATGTTTTTATATGATAAATATAATGATCAAATGAAGATTTATCAATATTGTAAGTTCCAAAAAGCATTATATTTGTAAAGATATTACTGAATTTACATTTCATTTTAATAAAGGGAGGTAATTAGAAATTTATTTTCTATAAAGTCCATGTCAAATTTTCAATAAGAAATGAATGCATATATTTTAATGATTACACATAATCTGGACAAATAGTTTCAGTACATATTTTACATATTCTTCGATGTTAGAAGCATAATTGTATACATAAATAAAATTTCACTGAAGTGTGGTAACAACCTTAATTACAACATACAGGATCTTTAAAATTTGATGACCACACTTATCCTTTTCCTGGTCGGACACTGTTCATGTAATTGCAATTACATGTCCTATTGAAACTTTTATAATCATCGACGTATACATAATCTTTGGACGTTTCACGTTTCTAATTTAATCATTTTATTCTGTCGTCATGCCCATGCATAATTGTTGAATACTGCTTAAACCGGTGTTAGGTGGCGAGGATTGAAAATTTCATCTCCCAGTACTATTCACTAACAGGCGCAATAAAACCGAACAGGCGTTGCCGTTTATTAATTTTGTGTTCTCAAGGAATTCGGTATTTTCTATTTTAGTTTCTGATCAACTGTATAGATAGAATATTAACCTTAGTTTGTTCCTTTATCTCTCTGCAGCCATTGGTCAAGCCTGCACTGCAAATACTGATTGCGTCGGCAATGCAGAGTGTGGTACAGACAAGAAGTGCATGTGTAAAACTGACTATATGGCAAATAGTGATAATAGTGTTTGTGGTAAGTCTGTTATCAAATGTTGTAATTGTTTATCAAAACATGTGATGATGATGATGGTGGTGGTGATGATGATGATGATGTTGATGATGATGATGATGATGATGATGATGGTGATGATGGTCATGATGATGATGGTAATGATTATGATAATGATGATGCTACTGATGATGATGGTTATGATTATGATGATGATTATGATGATGATGATGATGATTATGATAATGATGATGATGATGATAATGATGATGATTATAATAATAATGATGATGATGATAATGATGGTGATGATGATGATAATGATGATGATGATGATGATGATGATGATGATGATGATGATGATGATGATGATGATGATGATGATGATGATTATAATATAATAATAATGATAATAATAATAATGGTAATAATTATGATGATAATAATTATAATAGAAATACTGTTCTTGTTTGATGCAAACAACTTTTACAAAAATGCAGTTAGTTAAGAAAAATACAGCACTTGATATATATCAGAAACACATCTTGTTGACTATTATATTAAAATGTATTATTTTATTCATTGACTGGAAGTTATAATAATGCAAGACATATTTTCTTGAGACGTGCTATATAAGTCTAGTTTTATAATTGTGTTTGTTGCTGTCGTTAGTTAAAAATACGTTTGTTTAAGAGAAAACATTTAATTCAGATTCATACGACTATTCCCCCAAGCAGAGCTATTCAAAAGTGTCTTCTTACGCCTGTAAGATCCATGTAGATTTAGTACAGTTGAAATAGAGGTTACCTGCTTTGGCCACTTATTGACATGCAAGATTTTTTTCTAAAAGTCTTGCCCTGCCTTTCTATATTTTAAAAGATAAAGTAGCAAGATTTTACATTCTCGTATGAAGTTCTCATGCTTAACTTTAAACCTTGCAAGAATCAAAATGTAACAAGAGCCCGGTTTGAGCCGGGTGATGCTCCCCGAATAGGTTTTGGACACAGGAAAGTATACCTCTGGTAGTTTCAGAGTTATGTCCCTGGAAAAAGTTCAAAGTGCAATAATTCAAAAATTAGGCAAGGCAGAGTTACTGTTCTTTGCATTGCACTTCTTATCAATGTGATCTATCAACCTACAAAGATTCTTGATAGTCTATATTCTTGAAGTAATAAACCTTTATGGACTGCTCTAAGATTGAGACTATTTAACAACTGGTTATATACATTCATATCGTTTACAAGCAGATCGTAACGTTTACGAAATTGACCGACTAAAGGGTCAAATGCAAGAGTGCCAGATCAATATTGCTGGACAGGTCGCAATCAAAATATGTGGCGACAAAGGTTTATTCAATAAATATTCATATAAAAGATGAATGTTTCTATTTATATTGTATTTTGTTGAATAAAGTATTATTATGATGCAAAATATATACAGTATGTGTAGCTATCATGCAGTACATGTGGCTATTTCAGGCACATTTTATTTTTTAGCTATCAAAGTATTTCGTGAAACCTTTCGAAACTTTAACAAGCAAACAATAATATAGGTTATGCACGTGAAGGCTTGTCTTAGATTTTCGCGGGTTCTTATACTTGACTTGAATTCTTTTTTAATGGGTAAATTATGATAGCAACCCCTTTCATTTGAGTTATTCTTAAATAAGTGATTAAGATCTAGAATTGATATCATTTTCCTCTGTCCGAGTGTGTTTTTGAATTCCAACATTCACTTTAGAATCTTTCATGAGAGGATCTACAAAACTGATTAATGACAGACCGATGAATTTACTTAAGTGGCTAAAAAGATAATTCTAAGTGGCCAAAAAGATAAATGATTTTCTTACAATTACACGTCTTTCAGAGAAAGAGGACTCCAATGCAGCCGAGTCAATTGCTGCTCCAGGCGTCTTGTTGCTGGCATCAGCCTTTCTAACATTAAAGGGCATTTGTTAATGGAACAAAGGATCGGCTAGATAGGTATATATTATAATACTTATATTGCTTTAAGAAATCATTTCGCTAAGACTCAATACGCCAACAGTTCATGAAAACTTCATTAATGCATTAAATATTGCAAATCACTTTTGTTTTCAAAATATAGACAAATATCCAAGTAAATTATAAAGACAGTATGAAATGAAAAGAAATTAGAATAAAAAAGATTAACAAGGAAAGTTGGCACTTTATAAACGCAACCCCCAAGACAACCCAGCAACACCGGACTGCCGGAAAGGAGCCCAGCAGGGCACAAGGGCAAAGCGCACTTAACTATATGTGATTTAAATCTTTATAAATTTGTGTCATTGTCATATGATAACAGACATTTTTATTTTTTTGTTTGTTTTTTTTTACAAAATATGTACTTGAATTGAAGATTTTTTATTTTTCAGATCGCTGTTTATCCGCATCCGAGGAATGAAATTCTATTATACTTCTTTTCTCAAATATAGCTCAACAAGTGAAATCCATTTTTACTATTTTTACATTTCGGTGTGTTTTCTATCCAGATTTTGTTTCCATAGTACGTATCTGTAACATTTTTTTTGTATTCAACAGCACTGAAACAGAACTGTTAATTTTAATAACGACAACTTATTTCTTCAAAGGTAATGTGTACTTGTAAGGGTATTTGTTACAATTTTTCAAATTCTAATCGTCGGTTTCAATGGAAAAGGTCTTAAAGAAATGACGTCTGCTTATTTCTTTGTTGATGAAAGTGAATCACGGTCACATGATATACCAAATGCATATGACATAGGCCCGTTATATTTGTCATTTTATTTGTTGTTTTTTTGTGTCTAGATTTTACTTTTTAAATGTATTCTTGTTTTAATGTTTATATGTTTTAAATGTGTACTGTAGAAGTGCTTGAATAATTTGGGTTACAATTGAAACTTTGAAATTTCATAACCATCATGTCTTGCCATTATGACGGCACGTTTACATGGAACATCATATTGTGTAACATTAAAGCTGCATGCCTCCATACACCAAAAAAGTAAAACAACAGCAACGACAAAAGAAAAAACTTTTTTTTAAAGATACAACCTGAATATGAAATGAATACAAACTAAAAAAAAACATAATAAAGGAAATTCCACTCCATGTGACATTTTTTTGAACTTTTAAGTAAATTTTGTTGTTATTTTTTACTCTTAGTATTTAATAATCATTTTTACACCTTAATGAGTAGTGACTCTTTTTTTAGAATATTTGAATACCAGAAAATTTTATTCTAATCTTATTGAATAACCGACACATTATATGTGACTTTTGGATTTTATGATCCTAGCAAGTGCCTTAGATTAACTCTAACTACTTAATTTCTTTTCATTTGGGATTTTGGATACTTTCTAAAAGTTGTTTATAAATATTTGCTGTTAATAAATATTTTTGCATGAACTTGGAGGCGTGTCGCTAGAAGCTTAAACATACAATGTGAAAGCATATGTTTGCGTGTACATGTGATAATAGTACATGTTTTATATCTTTCAATATATTTATGTTATAATGTATATAATACAATGTAGAAAATTGCTCCAAGTGATAAATGCGCCATATTGTCTGTAATTGTAATTACATTAATTGAAGATAAAATAGGACTTATTTAAAAACCATCTTATTTTTTCAGAGCTTAAGCTTTATTTAAATCATTAATTCTTAAAGTCGGTATGTAATAGAGAATAAGATTTCAAAATAATTTTAACACTTGCAATGTAGTAGAAAAATGCATGCGATGCAACTTCGAAATGTAATTGGATGATATCAAATTAAACTTTGAACCATGTCCCAATGGACTATGCCCATCATACTGATGCAAACTTAGTTTTGGAAAATTATATTTTGTTAAAAAGAAAATGGACATTTACACACCTATGTGAAAAGTGCTTATTTTTATGATTTACAAATTGCGCATTTTTTTGTGTGTAAAAATGTAATGATAAAAGCACGCGTGAGTAAACGTGACATTGAAGAATGTTTATATTTGAGATGTTTTTAGGTTCTTTTCGTCTAATTAAAACAAAATCATTGCAAATAAATGTTAATTCAAAATGCTGCATAAAACATTTTGTAATTTCAATGCAGAGAACTTCGCAGAAGAACTTCAACCTCTCAAAGTTAAATATTTTTATTATCTCCGAAACGAAATCTTGTTATGTTCGGGTATGGGTATGTGTTTGTGAAATATTTACTAGAGACATTTTGATCGCCCATTATTTTGTAAAAAAAAATAGGCAAATTATTATATTAAAATGACAATTTTATAAAAGTACATAATTTCATTGAAATCAATAACCCATGTGAAAATAAATGGCTAATATTTAAATAAAAAAAAATGCTAAATTAAAAATAAGATTTTAATAATTGATTTTTTCAATATCGAATATTACATGGTCTGCATTACAAGGATGTTACTTATTGGCATTATTATGAAAAGTTTAATACCTTTACTTGGTATAACATGTTTCAGTGGAAGGAGAATATGTTATGAAATGTTCACGTTGAAAGCTGTATGACCGTAGGTTTCTGGAAGCAATAAAACATTGAAAAATTAAATACAGACTTTTTCTTTTGTTATTTTAATTACTCTCGAGTTATGTTATAAAAGTGTATGTACAAGAAAATGTGTGTTCTACCGTAATTATAATCAAACACTCTTACACGAACAACGTGTAAAGAAACGTGTATAAATAGCGAATATATATATAACGTAGCTGGTATCTCTCACAACATATTTCCCTTTATAAAGACAACAAGCATGTACAGGATTTGTAATAACTGGCAACACTCACATCGATCTTCCCTTTATATAAATCAAAACACGTGCACATGATTGCTTAATAAACGGCGTTCTTTATTACAATTTAAACCCTTAAAGGAGGTGATAATTTGATTACTGGAGTCTCCTGAAAATCTTTCTATTTTACATACTTCACGTATGTACTTCATTGTTTGATAAATGACGTCTCACATTATAATCTTCGCCTCATATAGTGTGCACATATGTACACATAAAGGGTACATACACGTACATAATTAACTGATATCTATCACAAAAAACTACCCCTTAAAGAGGCTACAACATGTACGTAATTATTTAAAAAATAAAGCGTTTAACAATAACCTTCTGGTTAAAGAAGCTACACGCATGTATACAGACCTCATGCATACACATAATTGATTGATAACTCGTGTCTCTCATAACAATCTTCCACATGTACGCTATTTTGTAGTCTGTCACAACGACGTTTATTAAAAGCGGCTACTAACCCTACTGTTGCATCCAGGTTCTGTCATGAACACATATTTACCCCATCATTTTGCATTATGTTGATATACATATATCGGACTGGCGTTGTATAATGCTATGTTCTCACCGCCGATCAGATCAACTCGAACGTCCCGATCACATTAATTCCCCGATGAAGCCCGACCAAGCTGGATTGAATGCACATTCACAATTCCTACACGACCCCAAGTCGACCTACACGACGTTTTACGACTTCTTCTCGACGACAACCCGACCAGCATCCCGACTTCTTCTCGATCACCCAGACCTATACGCGAGTCATACACGATCTCAACTAGACTAACTAGACCTATGCTGGATCGTTGCCAGATTTCCGACCGACCGGATCGTAATGATCGTAATCAAGTCGTGAATAATACTCGAGTAGAAGTTAAGATGATCGTGTACAGATCGGGTAAGAGATGTATATCCGACCAAACTAGATCGTTAGACGATTTATTCTCGATCAACTAGATCTTCTACTCGATCACTATACGATCGCTTCTCGACGCTTATCTACTCCATCGCTTCTCGATTTTTTTTGACATGTCAAAAAAATTCGGGTAGGAAGCCCGATCCATGCCGACCAAGGTAAACCGCTCCGACCACCCCCGATCACGCATGCAGACCGAGCTAGACCGGAACCCGATCGCTTGATCTTGCTTGATCGAGTTGATCTGATCGGTGGTGAGAACACAGCATAAGGAAGATACACCTATTTTGCATTTTTTCTGTATGGCACACACACACATTTTGCAATATTTTCGTTCATTTATAATTAACTTCGGATAAACGTTAAATAATTTACTTGGCCCAAGGAAATATCGTCCGAAATTTACCTGTGTTCAATTTATCAGAAGTGGGACAGTCTTTTTATATTATACTCAGATTTATAGTTTATCCTGATAATTTTCCTGTATCAACTATTGGTCTAATACCATAACAACAGTAAATCTTTTGAAATATATAGGCAATTCAAATACCTTAAAAATACAAAGAAAATATTAGCATAATACCACTTTTATGTTTTAATAGAAACGGAAATGTTTCATTATTAAGGGAGAAAACTACCAAATACACTTTTGGAATAGATACGGATGAATTAATTTTCTTCTTTCTAATATATAATGTTTGAACATTTAACTTTAGGTCTCCATTTTTCGAAAATATGTTTGTCATAAGATAAATTAAATGAACAAAGACTTTTACTTTCGATGAGGTGGAATATTCTGTTCTTAAATTGTATTTAAAGAGCAATAAAACTAAACTTTAGATGAGCCAAACACTAAAAGTTCATGTTTTATATGAGTATAGAAAAAAATGGAGTATATGGGCTAGTGTTAAGGGTGGTAAGCACATACAACTAAAGCTGTATTACGAAATTTATAAAAGAAAACAAGCCCTTTTTATGCCATTCATGTACATTTTTATACCATGTGACATGTCGTTACAACAAATTTATGGTATTACTTCTTTTTTGATTGAATTGACAAAAGCCGCATTCTTCAATTCAAGTACTACTCTAACCTTATCATCCGAAGGAGACTCTGAACAAGTCTACTCCTTTTAGGCAAATCTGTCCCGAGCCTAGAGACTGGTCGTGTTTACCATGCACATGCCTCTTCTTTTATGTTTCTAACTGCAGCACACATTCCTTTACCGGTTTTCTTTTTACATTTGCATATTTTTATCACACCATCCAGTCAAAATCGGAATCAATTGATGTTTTGCAGGATGTACATGCAGCAGATGAAGATTGTTACAGAGTATAGGATTTGATTAGAACGGTTTATAGATTCACGTTATTACTATAAGTGCTAACAATGCATTTGTTTCTTGGTCAATTAACTTTATACAATACAAGCGAATAAGTCTTATTATAAACAAAACCTAACAATTTTAATATACAGAAGGACCATACAATTGTTTTATTCCAAAAACCACATATTTTATTCATCACTTCTAATGTATTTAAAGTTTTCACAGCGAATCAGCCATTTTCTTTATGGTTCAATATTTCATCTCGGGTCTAAAAGACGTTCCATGCTTCTGGCAACCAAACGCTCTCCGCTTCTACATACACAATACTGTTTTATGCTCTCCGGTCCGTAGAAGGGAGGGGGCATATTGTTTTTGTTTCTTTTTATGTCTCTATGTATTTAAGTTTACCATAAATCCTTCCACTTACAAGTGCATTGATGAGCTAAACAAACGAGAAAAAAGATCAAAAAGGCAAAGGCAACGTTCACAGGACGCGGCCTCCTGACACACCCAAGCAGGGCACCAAACCAAAACCGGAAGCGGACGCAAGGGCGCCGAGAGGAGGGGACACGTTATGTGTGAAATGATAAAAACTAAAACGGGCACATTTGCGAATTAATGGATTCAGGGCCGTTATGGTGATATTGGGAGGGGGGGGGGGAAAAAACGGGAGGGGGAGGGGTGAGAAAATACCTACCGTCAACGACAATACAACAAAGCAGACATCACAAAGCATGTAAACATTCAAAACAAGTAACAATACAGACTTGAAAAACACGTGAAGAAACACACAGAGGGGTACCGCCTTTGAATGGACAGTGGTGGCGCCAAATCTCACTCTTAGCCCCAATATGTTCCGAAATGGCACAAAGTGTAAATAAAATACTAATAAGGCCTCCTGCAAGTGCATAGGACCAGCGATCAGGATCATCCCGATCAACGTCCAGGTCTGGGACTTTGCTTTCTTTAGAACATATCGCACATGTGCATATAACCTCAAGCATATTGACGATTTAACCCCAGTTCCAACCAGAACAAAAACATGTCAAAATAATGTCTTTCCTCTAAATATTTGTACCTGGAATATTCTCTTCCTGAAACTCGTAGATCTAGTCCCACTGCAAGCTCTTTAAAGACCAAAATAAATCAGAACATCAAAAGTTCTCAGTCTTACTATAATACAAGCACACGCAAAGATCAAATCCCTCACACAAGATTTAGAAAATGTTGTAGTTCATTGAATGAGGATTTGCTCCGAGGGTCTATTGCGGATATCTCTATAGCGGATAGCCCAACATCGGCATGCGGAAAGAGAGAAAACATATCTCATATTTTTATTGTTAGTACAGAAATTTACGTCAGATATTTCTCATTTATTTAAATTGTACGGTCACAGTAAATAACTTTCTTTACGGAAACTAACATCTCTCTTTTGTTGAAAACATAATTACCTATTTCAGAATGTCCAAAATTGTTTCACAACCAACACGCTTTTTGTAAGAATTTATATCCGTACGCTTATATTCCTTATATTCCTTCACATATTTATCTTTAAGTTAGGTATTTAAAATTCGACTAAATTCAATCATATTTCTCCTCAATTTTTTCTGTTCTTCTAGCTTTTCTCCATAAGTTAACTTAGTTACACATTCAAAGAGCTTACATCAAACCGCCACATTTTTGTTTCTTTATAATGAAAATTTACTTATACTGGAGAGGAACTGATATAAATATTACATTATTTGTTTTCGAATCCAGTCGGAATAACTTTGTTGTTAAATGTTTGAAAATGTTATTTCATGTATAATTTTTAAATAAATAAGATATAACTCATATCAATGAGTATTAAAACTTGTTTTAGTCAATACAGTCAGAAAATTATTTATGACAATATTTTTATCCTAAAGATAACTATACATCAGCTAGCAGCTACAGGAGAGCGTACATCCTCAATTTGAACAATTTGTGAATGTCAGTAATTTCGTAACACTCCCTAATAGTTTATTGAAGATTGTTTGTAGTAATTTGTGCAACTTGCAAGACCACTTTTGAGATAAACAAATGCCGAGAAAATATCAGATATGCACACTATAGACTGCACAGTCTGTTAAACATATTCATCTTATTTTGTTTAACTTAGAGAAAGAAAATGTTATTTTCAAATGTTATAGATTTTAGTATTATAGAAACTTAACAAAGTGACAAGCGACGATATGATACAAAATGAAATAATGTCTTATGTATATAACAGAAGTGATATTTTATATTCAGAATATATACATGTTTAAGTTTCTGTTACAGTTTCAAGACATAATATTGTCCTTTTACTAAGTTGAACAAAAGATAATGTTTATAGTTCATTTTAGACCTATAAAATAATCAGGTCATTACGTCAACAATACGTCAACAATACCTTATCTGACATGTCACCATAAAACATGTATAAGTAAAAATAAAATCTCATTATCAACGAAACAGAGCCAATTAGAATACTTACACGTATTTTATAGTCTTGAACCGATGAAATGGTTTTTGACAAATTTGTAGTTTTACTTGTTTTATTCGCTGGTGGCTTCTCGACAGCTGTGGAAGATGCAACAGGACAAAAGCCGGAAACATCCTTGGACACATGGCAGTTAAAACCTGGTTTGAAAACGAATAATCAACGAGAAAACCAGCTTCATATGCGTGTAGATTACTTTGAGAAGCGAGAGGATGATATTCTCAAACGAATGGACCATCTCGAGACACTAGAAAAGAATATTCTTCTGCGTATGAAAAGCCTAGAGATTCAAGAAGAGAATATTCTAAGGCGCCTGGAGAATTTAGAGATACGAGAGAAAGAAATGAAAACTCGCATGGAACGTATCGAAATTCAGGAAAATGAAATCAATGGTCGCATGGAACATCTTGAGACTCGAGAAAAAGAAATAAATAGGCGATTGAATCATCTTGAATCACAAGAAAACGAGGCTCTCTCGCGGATGGAACATCTTTTGTCACGAGAAATAAATCACAGCGAACGTATGCATACCCTCGAGGCACACGAAAAAAAGACAGGTATGAAGGATGAGTCTATAAAATGGCACAATGACAAGGTAGTACAAACGTTGCTGAAGAACCCCGGTGATGAAGAAGAAATCATTGCATCGAGAAAGGACAAAGACATGCCTGTAGTTGTAAGAGGTATATTTTTTGGAATTTATTATACATACTTATTCAAGTATTTGCTTTTGCAGAATATATAAAAATTTCTTTTACTTTTGCTCGTGTCATTTCTCTGCTAAGTAGGGAGAGTATTTGTAACTCAAAGGTCGATTGTTCTATCCTCGATCGAGGCGAAATTTCTCCTTAACAATTCTTGATCCCTGACATTGTGTCTAATAACCAATTGACTCTCACCGCTTCTTTAGAAATCAGGTGGGATATCCAGGGATTCTGGTGATATATTTTGATCAAACACCGAGATATGAGAAAATTAATCATTAAAATCGACGTTATAACAAACAAATGAGTATCAATTGGTATTTTTGATTTTGTGAACCTTATTTGCCTTTTCAAACATTGTAAAATAAGTCAAATGCACAATTCAATACTTCGATAGAGTTACAGACCTTTCGCAAACTTTACCGCGCGCAATTTCCGAATCATGAAAAGACTATTTTAAATAGTAACCTAAAGTACACAAGATTAGGTTTAACACACTGAAGTATGAAAGGAGCAAAGTTTAATTATTAACGTTTTCTGTGTATAATTGTGCCTACTTATCTTAGCGCGTCACATTTTAGTGGTTACGTCACACGCATAATGATTATGTCACAGTTCTAAATATAGAACGTCAACAGTGATTTTATTGCATATTCTAACACAACCCGCAGTTTTCCCCGATTGAATATTGAAGAACCGAAAGTGTGTGCTATTTGAGAAATAATATATCGCAAACAATGATTTTATCACTAAAAATCACTGTTTGGAGATCGGATGTGAGGAATTGTAACACGAGGGCGCAGCCCGAGTGATATAATGATGCGCATCCGAACGACAAACAGTGATGTTATCAAGCGATAAAACCACTGATCTTGATATATAATTTCGATTCTAACACGACATCAACAAATAAATGCTACCGTACATGCCGTACCTGACATTTAGCTAAATTGCGTCTGATTCGTTTCCGTACTTATTTTCAGCGCGTCAAATTTAAGTGGTTACGTCAAGTGTATAATGATTACGTCACATGTCTATGAACTAAACGTCAAACTGTGATTTTATAGCATAATAACACACACTTTCGGTTTTTCTATATTTAATAGGAAAAAACGCAGAACGTGTTAGAATATATATTCTAACATGACCCGCATTTTTCCCTATTGCACTTAGAAGACCGAAAAGTATATATTAATTTAAGAAATAATAGTTTCTATAGATCTATCCCAAACTATGTTTTTATTGCTCAATGAAATTACTGTTTTGATTTCGGATTTATTATATCACGAGGGCGTAGCCCAAGTGAAATAATGATGCGCATTCGAACGACAAACAGTGATCTTGATATATTATTTCGATTCTAACACGACATCAACAAATAAATGCTACCGTACCTGACATTAAGCTAAAATGCGTTTGATTTGTTTCCGTACTTGTTTTCAGCGCGTCGCATTCACATGTCTAATGATTACGTCACATGTCTATGTATAGAACGTCAATAGTGATTTTATTCCATAATAACCACACACTTTCGATTCTTCTATGTTTAATAGGGAAAAATTTGGGTCGTGTAAGAATATGCAATAAAGTCACTGTTGACGTTCTATATTTTGACATGTGACGTTATCATTATCCATTTGACGTTACCACAGTACGCAAACAATTTAAATGCAATTTAGCTTAATATCAGGTACGGCAGCATTCATTTGATGTCGTGTTAGAATCGAGATAGTATATCCAAATTGGTGATTTTATCGCTTGATAAAATCACTGCTTGTTGTTCGGATGCGCATCATTATATCACTCGGGCTACGCCCTCGTGATATGATTCCTTACATCAGAACTCTAAACAGTGATTTTATTGAGTGATAAAATCACTGTTTGGGATATATTATTTCTTTGGGACCTGTGAAACACTTGGTTCTCAATATTTGGATTTATAAATTTAACAAAATATGTTTGACGCCATTTATATGTCACATCAGTGATATTTGAACATGTGTTTATTTGTAGAACTATTTATCATTTATAAAGCAGTATTTTCATGTGCATTTTTTCAGATATAATACAAGCACCTTATATAAAACAAAGAGTTCGACGTGATCAAACTCCTCAGGCCTTTTTTGCAACCCTCAGCCGTGATGTACTTCGTGCAGGGGTTCATCAGATTTACGTATTTGACAACGTTATCACGAATCTAGGCCATGGCTACAATAACCATAACGGCAATTTTGTCGCGCCCATGGACGGAACTTATGTTTTCTCCGCTACACTAATGTCTATGTATAAAAGAAATACGCGTGCCGCGTTCTTCCGAAATGGGAAACTTGTAAGTCAGATGTACCTCACCGGAATTGACTCCGCGCATGCAACAGCAAGTCAGACTATCATACTTCAGCTACGTCAATGGGATGACGTAAGCATCCATAACCTAGATGCTGACACCGGCCTGGCTGGATCACACTATAGTGTGTTTTCTGGATATTTACTCTACGAGGGATATCCCACTCCACCGGTGGTAGGAAAGTAGTATCAATTGGACTTGTTATATTTATTTCATACAACAATACAAACGAAAATAAATATTTTCATATAACAATGGTCTTGAAAGTATTTCAAAATATAGTATAATTGGTCATATACTTGAAAATAACAAAATCCCGTTCATGTTTTGATAGTGAAAGATTTATTGACATAGATAATATTAATTTTATTATTTATGATATTATAATATATCTATTAATTTATATGTATATAATATTTATGCAAAACAGAAAAAAGTACAATAATACACTATTGAGCGAATGATTAATCGTGAAAATATCATGTTACATTTCGAAATGAAATGAAGTTAGTAAAAGAAAATAGAAATTAACTTTTCGTATCTTGAGTCGTAAGACAATAGACAAAATGATGTGCCGAGAAATAGATAGCGGGAGTTTTGAAGAAGGGAGACTACCATTTTTTCCGAAATGTAACTCTTATTTTGGTCATAATTGTGATACATACGAGTGGCTTTCCAAAATTAATTTTACTTTTTGTTTTCTCTTTGATGTAAGTCGTTAAGATCACTTAAACTTGCCCTGCCGCTCAAAGTACTCCTCATCTACCCGAATGCACTTTTCAGCCGATCAATCCATTCTGATTCAGTTTTCGTACTGTTCAATGTATACTCATAAGATACTGGTAAATGGCAGAGCCCAGAGCATAACTTGATTTGTATTTTTTTCCAGACAGTGTAATTTTAGTTTTTGGAACAAGAAATAGTCACAGGAGGCTAGGTCTGGTGGGGAGGACCCCTTCAAAAACTCCGTAACAATTTGTGCCTTGTGAGCTGTCGTATTGTCATAAGCCTTAGGTACTTCAAACCTGTTTATGGGCGGCGGCGTTTATTGTGTTTCTTAAGTTTGCGAAGTACAACGTCTCTGTAGTACTTGCCTGTTTCGGCGCAAGGATTTGCACGACTGGGCCCTTGTTATCAAAGAATTTTACATAGAAAACCTTTCTAACGGTTCGTATTTTTTTAGCAATGCTAGGACGCCATGTGGTTTTGGTGGCCCAGATTTAATTAGAGCATTTTCTTTTGGGTTCGGAAAAAAACACCCCTGTTTCGTCATCTTTGACCTAGTTGCCGAAAGCCTTTTTTCTGTATTTCGGGTATTTCTTTAACAAAAGTTGATTAATCTTAATCTTACTAAGCCCAAAATGTTTCTTTAAACTGCAATAAACACGTGCTAAAGGCAAGTTTGTCATTCTAGCTAACTGCCTGACAGTGTTTCTTGCGTCTTTCTTCAGGATTTGTCGAATTCTTTCAATGTTCTGTTTTGTCGTTGTTGTTGTAGGGCGTCCTGTGTGAGCAGCATCTTTCAGCTGCTAATGTCCCGATTTAAATCGACCAACCCATCTACAAACAGTCATATACGACATTTGACCCTCCCCATAAATAACACACACTCCGCGATGAATATCATTCGCTTTAAGCCAAGCTGAGGCCTACCTTTAATAAAGGCCCTAATTACAACCACGTTTTCAGCTCTCTTTCCAACCATATATGTGTGGGTGTAACGAGTACGCTGCAAAACAATGTACACAGTACCAAGGTTAGTGTAATTGTGAGCGAGATATTGACCAAAACTACTCTCCAGGTATCACGCTATCGACATGTATTGGATTTGAGTTCCTATAGCACGATTTCGACGAGATAGAACCCGAGTAACTTTAATTTTGGAACACCCTCGTAACCTAGTTGCTAGCAGCTAAATTTTCGTCATTAACTAGTGCATTTACACATTTAGAACAGCGCGTTACACTCAAACTGCACAAAGAATAAATGACCTTGCTCTTTACTGATAATTCAGAAACGGACATTTATAAGGGGAGAACACTCGGATATCCTTCTGCAATAGTTAAGGGTTTATTAATTCCCTTCCGATGAGCCAAAAACGAATAGATCACATATATATTAAGACGGTGTTACACCGACTGTTGGTTTGGCATGTATTTTTGCCGGAAATGCGAATCCGTCACCTGGTCCGGGTTTCTTACAGCCGAGTCGCTAAGTGCTGAAATTGGACTCGTAGATTTCTCAAATCTTAAAAACACACAGTTATAATTTTTCGTAAAATCGACTCCGGGATTCAGGATAGGTAGCACAAAGGCACAGTATAATAAAAATGATAATTACATGTAAATATTAAATTGCGCTCCAAGAAACGTTCTCGGTTTTCTACAGTCAGGTCGCACTTTTAATTAAAAAGGCCGGTCTCAGTTGGAGTATAATTTTTGCAAAGCTTGAGCTCTGTACTAGACCAATAACGGAATCACGTAGAAACACTGTTTTAAATTAGAAAATGATTGCTTTTAAATAAATGATAGACTAACAAGGGACTCCACTAACGTTATTCTGGAGGGGAAAAAACATTTCTCAAAATTTGCATGTTATTTGATGTAGCACTAGACCAACAATTTGTGTGCATAGTTCATGAACAATCATCAACTCCGTTTCCAAAATAATCATAATAATGATGATTTTAATTGTGAAATTAAAAGGGTTTTTGAAAAAAAGAAAACAAACTAAATTTGGACTTAGAAACACACAAAAATGATTTTAATTTTTTTGGTTTTAACCTTTTTCCGTTTTAAGTGCCTCTACGGATGAATTGATTTTCTTTCGTCTAAACATTTAATTTTAGTTCAACATTTTGCGAAAAGATATTTTACATAAAATAAATTAATTGAACAAAGTCTTTTACTTTCGATAAGCTACAAAATACTGTTCTTAAACTGTATTCAAAGAATAAACTAAACTTTCGATAAGGCTAAACACGAATAGATCATTTTTATTTGAGCATAGAAAAAACACGGATTATATGGGCTAGTGTTAACGGCTGTAAGCATATACAACAAAATCTGTATTACGATATTTATAAAGAAAACAAGCCTTAATATGGAACTGTTGTACATAATTTTATCACCTGACATGTCGTTAAAACAAATTTATGGTATTGCTTTTTATTTATTTTTGATTGAGTTGCAGAAGCCGCATTTCTTAATTATAACATTGCCCTATCTCAAGCAAAGTACTACTCTAACCTTTAATCCTACGGACTGAAATGCTCCGAACCTGCTTGCTCCTATTGGGCAAATCTGTCCCAAGGTGTATGAATATTCTCTGAGAGACTGGCCGTGGTCACCATGTACACACACCTCTACTTTTATGTTTCTAACTGCTGTACACAGACCATTACCGGTTTACTTTCTACAATATCACAGATTTCTTTTAATACACCATCCAGTCATAATCGGAAATCAGTTGATGTATGACATGATTTATTTGCAGCAAATGAGCAGATGAGCAGTTTTACATGCAGATTGTTATATTCCAAATTCCACAGATTTTATTCATCACTTCTAATGTACTAAAAGCTTTCACAGCGAATCAGTCCTTTTCCTCGGGTCTAAATGATACGAGGGGTGTTCAAATATAAATACAACTGGGTCAATTTTCAGTAGTGCTTAAAATAGCCGAACCGAGATTTTTTAGGCGTTTGATTTCTTCCAGCAAGATGTTTTATGAGCCTCGGAAATAAGAAAAAGGTCACAAGGGGCAAGATATGATATGGCGAAAAAGGAGGGTGAGGAAGCTCGACAACGTTTTTCTGTTTGAGATATTCTTCGACGATGGTCGCTTTGTGTGACGAAGCATTGTCATGCAAAAACCTGACACCACGGAGACCAGTCGCTGGCCGACGGTTTTTTAATTTTTTCTTTAATTAATGAAGGACCCTGTCTTTGTAAAATTTAGCATTTACAGATTTACCCTTTGTAATGTCACTTTGAATAGCAGGACCTTGATTGGTAAAGAAAATTACACACATGACCTTTTTGACGCTCATGGTGCTTTTTGCTATAAAAGATCTTTGACTTCATTTAGATGCCCATACTTTGTTATGTATCTTTCGCTTTGGCACATAAAAGTGAACCCACGTCTCATTACCAGTGATGTTATTGTATTTAGGGAACTGTTTCAACAATTGTTTGGGGATTCCTATCCGAGCAAGCTTTTGCTCTTTTGTAAGGAGATGGGATATCCATCTGGCATTTATCCTTCTCATTTTTAAATCACGTCTGAGAATTGAATGAGTGGCTCCTACAGAGATACCAACGCATTTAGCTATATACATAATCAGCAGCAATCAAAACCTTTATTTTTTCAACCATTTTGCAGTTTTCGGACGGCGTGCATGAAGTGCATGCTTTACTGAATCCACACCACTTTTAAATTTCAAACACCACCGTTTGAAATATGAACAATAAAGTTCATTGTTCCAATAAACATAAATGTTCGCCTGTGTATCAAGAATACAGCGGTTTTTGATATAGGACCGTAGTTGGTCAGTGAAAGGAGACCTTTTCCCAACCATTTAAGTTTGAACAGTAAATGTCATTAATTTCATATCACTCCCTAATATTTTATTAATTTGAACATTTTTGTAGTACTTTTTGCTACTGTTATATGTACTTCTTGCAAGAACATTAAACCTCTAAACGAATATGGAGAAAAAACCCGATATGTAAACCATCGACTGCATAGTTGGTTAAACATATACAACTTATTTTGTTTAATTAATAAAAACTAAACAAAGTGACGAGTGACGATATGCTACAATATGAACAATTTCTTATGCATATAAAAGAACTGACATTTTATATTCAGAACATATATACATGTTTAAGTTTATGTTACAAATTCAAGACATAATACTGTCCTTTTACTAAGTGGAACAAAAGATAATGTTTAAAGTTCATTTAAGACCTATAAAATAATCAGGCCATTACGTAAACAATTCCTTATCTGTCATGTCACCATAAAATATGTATAAGTAAAAATAAAATATCATTATCAACGAAAGACCGACAATTAGTATCATTACACGTATTTCATGGTCTTGGACCCGATGAAATGGTTTTTGACAAATTTGTTGTTTTACTTGCTCTATCCGCTGGTGGCTTCTCGGCAGCTGTGGAAGATGCAACCGGACAAAAGCCGGAGATAACCTCGGACACATGGCTGTTACAACATGGTTTGATAACAAATAATCAAAAAGTAAACCAGCTTCATACGCGTATAGAATACTTTGAGTCGCGAGAGGATGATATTCTCAAACGAATGGAGCATCTCGAAACATTAGATAAGAATATTTTTCTGCAAATGAAAAGCCTAGAGACACAAGAAGAGAATTTTCTGAGACGCCTTGAAAATCTAGAGATACGAGAGAAAGAAATTGTAAACCGCTTAAAACATATTGAGATACAGGAAGATGAAATCAATGGTCGCATGGAATATCTTGAGACTCGAGAAAAAGAAATACGTATGCGATTGAATCATCTTGAATCACAAGAAAACGAGGCTCTCTCGCGGATGGAACATCTTATGTCACGAGACATTAATCTCAGCGGACGTATGCATACCTTAGAGGCACACGAAAAAAAGAAAACTATGAAGGATGAGTCTATAATGAGGCAAAATGACAAGGTAGTAGAAACGTTGCTGAAGAACCCCAGTGATGAAGAAGAAAGCATTGCTCCAAGAAAGAACAAAGACATGCCTGTTGTCGTACGAGGTATATTTTCGGAATTTATATACATAATTATTCAATAATGTGCTTTTTGAATTTTGAGTATGTAAAATTTCTTTTAATTTTACTTGTGTCATTTCTCTGCTCAATAGGGATAGCATTTGTAACCCAAAGGTTGCTTGTCCAATCCTCGATCGAGGCGAGCTTTCTGCCTAACAATTCAAGATCCCTGACATTGTGTCTAACAACCAATTCGCTCTCACCGCTTTTTTAGAAATCAGGTGAGATATCCAGGGATTCTGGTTAAGTCTTTTGCTTTACCTCCGAGATATAACAATATTAATAATAAACATACAAACGAGTGTCAATTAGTCCTTTGATTGTATGAACCTAATTTGATTTTTACACATTGTAAAACGGACCAGACTTCCCATCCAATACTTCAATAGAACCAATGATCGTCTGCAAAACTTACCGTGCAATTTCCTAAACGCCTATTACGGAGATGGATTGACGATTTCAAACAGTGACCTTAACTGTCACGTCCAATCACTTGATTTGAAATGTTTTCATTTGTTGCTTTTTGGTGCATGTGGACCATTTTCCGGAACAAGATGTAAATCTACATACATTTTTGAAGCGTATGAATTAACAAAATATTTTTACTTGATTTATCTCCCACAAGATTAGGTTCAACACATTTAAGTATTTAAGGAGCAAAGTCACTATTTTTCTTTAAAATATCGGCCTGCATCGAACTTTTTTCTGTGATATGTATCCAAGCACTAGGTTTTGTGTAAATTTAGTTTATTGCAGCTAAATTTGTATGAAGCGCAAAAGTCGTAATATCGATCTTGTGTCTGTGTCCTATTATTCCGCGTGAAACTTGCTAATTGTTACACTTGGTTTTCCATATTTCGATTTGTAAAGTTAACAGCATATATTTAACGCTTTTTACATGTCACATCAGTGATATTTGAACATGTTTATATTTGTAGAACTCATAATCGCTTATAAAGCAGCAGTTTCTTTTGCATCTTTTTTCCAGATATAAGACAAGCACCAAATATAAAACAAAGGGTTCGACGAGATCAAACTTCACAGGCTTTTTTTGCAACCCTCAGCAGTGATATACACCATGCAGGGGTTCATCAGATTTACGTATTTGACAACGTTATCACAAAGATAGGCCATGGCTACAATAACCATAACGGCAATTTTGTCGCGCCCATGGACGGAACTTATGTTTTCTCCGCTACACTTATGTCTATGTATAACAGGAATACCCATGCCGCGTTCGTCCGAAATGGGAGACCTGTTAGTTATATGTACCTCACCGGAAGTGCCTCTGGGCATGCAACAGCTAGTCAGACTATCATACTTCAGTTACATCAATATGATGATGTAAGCATCCATAACCTAGATATTGACACCACCCTGGCAGGATCACACTATAGTGTGTTTTCGGGATATTTACTCTACGAGGGATATCCTAGTCCTCCGGTTGTAGGGAAATAGTATAAATTGAACTTGATGAATATACAACACTATAATAAAAATTATTATTTTCATAATGTAATAATGGTCGTGATATTATTTCAAAACTTTATAGTATAATTGGTCATATTCTTGAAATTGACAAAATCTCGTTCATATTTTGATAGTGAAAGATTTATTGACATAGATAACATTTATTTCTAATGATACTCTACTAAAAAGATAAAAAAGTACAATAATACACGTTTGAGCGAAATATGCAAATGTGATTAATCGTGAAAGTACCTTAATATCAAGTAACATTTCTAAATGAAATGAAGTTTGTAAACGAAAATAGAAATTAACACAACATTTTGTATCTTAAGTCGTAAGACAATAATTTAAAAGACAAAATGATATGCCGAGGAATAGTTCGCGGGAATTTTGAAGAAGGGAGTCTACCATTTTCTCCTGAATGTTTTTCTTTTTTGGGTCATATTTGTGATACAGGTGTGAGGGGTGTTCCAAAATAAATGTTACTTTTGTGTTTTCTCTTTGATATAAGTCGTTAAGATCATTTAAACTTGCACTGTCCCTCAAAGTACTCCCCATCTACCCGAATACACGTTTTCAGCCGATCAATCCACTTTTTTAGAACAGTTTTCGTACTGTTCAATGGGTATACTCATAACATACTGGTAAATGGCGGAGTCGAAATCATTTCTTGATTTGTATTTATTTCGAAACAGGTAAAATTTTAGTTTTGGGAATAAGAAACAGACACAGGGGGCTAGGTCTGGTGATAAAGCAGGATATGGGAGGACTGTGACCTTTTTCGTCTTCAAAAACTCCGTAACAATTCGTGCCTTATGAGCTGGCGCATTGTCATGCAAGAGTCTGGGGTACTTTAAACCTGTTTATGGGCGGCGGCGTTTATTGTGTTTTTTAAGTTTGCGAAGTACAACGTCTCTGTAGTACTTGCCTGTTTCGGCACAAGGATTTGCACGACTGGGCCCTTGTTATCAAAGAATATTACATACAAAACCTTTCTAACGGTTCGTATTTTTTAGCAATGCTAGAACGCCTTGGTGGCCCAGATTTTATTAGAGCATTTTCATTTGACTTCGGAAAAAAACCACCCCTGTTTCGTCACCTTTGACCTAATTGCCGAAAGCCTTTTTGCTGAACCCAAGATGTTTCTTCAAAATGCAATAAACACGTGCTAAAGGCAAGTTTGTCATTCTAGCTAACTGCCTGACAGTGTTTCTTGCTTCTTTCTTCAGGATTTGTCGAATTCTTTCAATGTTCTGTTTTGTCGTTGTTGTTGCAGGGCGTCCTGTGTGAGCAGCATCTTTCAGCTGCTAAAGTCCCGATTTAAATCGACCAATCCTCCTACAAACAGTCATAATTATACGACATTTGACTCTCCCCATAAATAACACACACCTCGCTATGAATATCATTCGGCTTTAAGCCAAGCAGAGACCTACCTTTAATAACAGGTATTGAATTTGAGTTCATATAGCACGATTTCCACGAGTCAGAACCCGAGTAACATTAATTTTGGAACACCCCTCGTAATCTAGTTGCTAGCAGCTTAATTTCTGCATTAACCTTACCCATTTAGAACAGCACGTTACACTCAAACTGCACAGAAAGAATAAATGGTTTAGCTCTTTACTGATGTTATGGTTTTCTAAATTCAGAAACGAACTTTTATAAAGGGAGAACACTCGCATTTCCTTCTGCAATAGTTTAGGGTTAATTAATACGCTTTCAATGAGTCAAAAATGAATAGATCACTAAAATATTAAGACGGTGTTACATCGACTGTTACATCGTTGGTTGGGCATGTATTTTTGCCGAAAATGCGAGTCCGTCACCTGGTCCCGTCTTTCTACAGCCGAGTCGCTTAGTGCTGTAATTATCGTAGATTTCTCAAATCTTAAAAACACACAGGTATAATTTTTTTGAGATCGACTCCGGTAACACAAAGGTACGACATAATCAAAAGTAATGGTGTGACTTAAAATGTAATGAACAAACAGTTGCCGCAATTATGATTATGAGTTGCAATTTTGATTTTGACAAACATTATTGACTAATGGCTGTGAGATCTGTTAATGAGCATTTTGCAGGAATGCGGTTCTTTTGTCATACAATCAGGTCTGAAATTTTAGTATACTCGTTACTGTGCACATAATTATATGCTCACAGTAATATATGTTTTCAATTTAAAAGAACTCAACTGAGGTTCAAAGACCCAAAACATAAAATTTGTAATAAATGAAGCACCTTACACGGGAAACCCTACAAAGCATAACACAAATTATTCTCAGAATTAAATGAAGATAAGACCTTATAATCACCAGTTTTCAGTTCTGATCCCTTTTCCATGTATGTCATGTGTTGAAAAGTTTCATTTGTAAATTGTAAATGTGTATACTTGTTTGAGGTAAACTAAATTTAAACTGAATTTAATCGAAAATCGTTCGTTTTTTATTTGGTTCGATTCTTAGCAGGATTGGAATAATAAGCATAACATTACAACGCTTTTCCTTTTTTTGTCATTTATTACAATAAAAACAATAATTTTCAAAAATAGGGTTGAGGATATTAAGCTGAAAATGTACACACACGCCTACATCAATAAGTACACAAATCTGAGGAAGATATTTGCGTGAGCAAAATGTAAAACTCCAGAGGTTTCTGATGCACAAAATTTGTTCAGAAAAACGTTAGTTAAACCTTTGCGAAAGTTAATTATATTATTTTCCAAACCAATGCAGTAATCCTGTAATAACATGGAATACTTAATTAAGTTCTTGTTGTTGGATAGTCTTACAGTACTAGATTATGTACATTGCAAACATGTCATTATAAATGTTATATAAAAGGGTGTCTAATTTGATACCCATTAAATAATGTTATACAATAATAGAGTAATAGATAGAAATATATTTTTAAGCAGTAACGAAGCTGTTTTGTGTTGTATTATCATTTATTTTGTTACCATGAATTTTCTCCCATAACAAATTCAATCAATTGTGAGCGTTTGATAATCATTTCCAGTAAATATAATTAAATGCAGTGGTATTACGTAAGCTATGATTATAGTCATTTGCACCAATATACTACATGAGCTGAATTAGTTTAGTTTAGCTGAACTGAATTACATCAATGTCATTATATAATATAATGTAGATGATAAATGCTGTAAATATGGTCAGAGTTTTGATTCAATGTAACAGATAAAGTAATTGTATAGGAGCTGGAGCTAGATCCTGTAGTACGTTTCAAATTCATCATGATGAGCGTTTGGTATAATCATGGGAATCATTAAAGTTTCATTGAAAAAATAAAAAAAGTTTTGATAATGCTGTACTGTCATGAGCTTTCCATTAGGTAATCTAAACAAGTAATTTCTAAATTGTAGATATAAATTGACCCAATCTTTTTTTCCAAATATTTTAGAAAAGATCTTATTCAAGTTAAAAACATTCTTTTTTAAATTAAATATATTTGCAGTTGTTTAATGTATTTAGCATACTCTAGGGTTACGGCAAACGTAATTTGTTTGGGGGGAGACCTTAGTTCCTCTCCATGAATTTTTTAAGGCACGACTGAGCATCTGAGTATAAAAATCAACGTTCCTATAGCTTTTTCACATGAAAGAATCAAAAATCCAACAGCGGTTAGGTTTGAAATTGACATTCTTTACCACTCGAAGTGCTTTTATATCATGTAAATTTCTATGAAATATTATAATTTATTAAATTGTTAAGCTAGTTAAGTCATGTTACTAACTTCAATTTAAGCAAAACATACGACACTACATGAATTACCAATAAATGTCTCAACGTGTACATGTATTCTACTAAGTAACGGTTAAGTATCTTGTTAAATTCATTAAATTGAGACCGCCTCCGTGGTCGAGGGGTTAGAGTCTATGACTTCTAATCCAGTTACCTCTCTGGCGTGGGTATGATCCCCGGGAGATGCTTTGGCAGTTTAGCGCGGAGGAAGGTAGTCTAGTACTGGTGTTACTCTCCAGGAACGATGGTTAGGAAACTACCCGCCTATATGACTGAAATACTATTGGGAAAAGGCTTAAAATCAAACAAACAAACAAACAATCATTAAATTGAACAGATTTGTGTACATAGCGTGTAACTGATAATGAACACAACATGTTACGCGGGGCGTCCGTGGCCGAGTGGTTAAGGTCGTTGACTTCAAACCACTTGCCCCTCACCGCTGTGGGTTCGAATCCCGACAGGGACTTTGGATTCTTTCATGTGAGGAAGCTATCCAGCTAGCTTACGGAACGTCGGTGGTTCTACTCAGGTGCCCGTTCGTGCCTGAAATAATGCACGGAAGGGCACCTGAGGTCTTCCTCCACCAGTAAAGCTGGAACGTCTTGATATGACCTATACTGTGTCGATGTGACGTAAAACCCAAAACAAACAAACAAAACAGGTTACGTTACTTTAATCCCTAATTATTTTACTATAGTTATTTTTCCGCTCATATGGAGGAGAGTACAACTTTCAGGGAAGACCCGTTGCTAATGTTGAGGGAATTTGTGGGTAAATATGTCATGTCATTGTATTGTAACTGTCTACATGTATGTAAATGTTTTATTTTTGGCAATGAAAAATGTTTTAATCAGTACACCTTTAATTGTGTTTATATTGCCACAAGTATTGTCACAAGTAAATGGTCAAGAGCATTGTCCCTATTTTTTACATTTGTACAGTAAAACTTAAAGCTTTCATAGCGAATATATACTGTCATTAACGTCAATTAGGTTAATGACTGTCAATTAAATATAAACTCTAAATTCTAATTATCATAATTCTATTTTCCCGCTAGAAAATGCATTACTTTAATTATCATCACAATTAATCATCTCTAGAGCATTTGTCTATTCACTGAACTTCTATAAAAGCTTCGGGCATAGTTTTACCATTAATGATTTACAGATTGTGGCTAAATTAATAGGGTTAAAACGGTTCTACTCATATTGCGTGAACTTGAAACGAAATGGCTATACGTGTCGCAGTAAAGAATCCATGCTAACCACCATATGAACGCATCTGCGGATGTTTCAAATTTCAAAATTTTGCTAGTTCATGTGAAATGTTGATTTCTGCCGGTGTTAGAGGGCGTTGAAGGTAGCATGCAATTACCATTACCTTTTATAAACGGTTCAATCAAAGCGAGCTTGCAACATTTTCAGTCTTGTCGTATTTGTCTTTCTTTAGGGATTCTGTTTTTCTTTATTTTTATATCATGTGTTTTTTTAAGTTTGGAAATATCAGTTCCCAAACGTCTTTGTCTCTAAAGCACCTGTTCATGTTGCACAAATGTTTAGTGATGCATCATAAAGTAATAATAATTTCACAATAACATCGGCATCATTTTTTGACAGGTTTATTCGCTTAAATCGTCCAAATCTTTAAAATATCCTTTGAAATTGATTCATGTTTTTAAAAAGGATATATATCTGAAATTGCTTTAATATCTTAATAGATTAATTATTTTTTCATAATTTTTTAATTCCCTTATAGTGAGACTAATATGTCGTCAACTTTATGATACTATAAACTTTCCTTGCGAATATCAATCAAATTATGCTTTCATTGATATAAATATACTGTAAATAATTCAAATCTATTGCATTTACTATTTATTATCTATTCATAAATCAAAATATTCGAAATAGACATACTAATCCTTTTAGAATAATTATAAAAACAAAACATAAGCGATGAATTCCGGGAGTTAATTTTTAAAATCATAATTAGATGCGTTCGACGGAAAGCAAGATAAAAATGCTAGATTAAAGATTAATTTCCGGACACTTCGTGAGTACATTGTAGTTTCATGCGAGAAATGTTTAGTATAGCACATATTTTTGACGTATTCAAAACGTTTTTTTTTTTGTATTTTCCAGAATGTTTTTTTCAAGGCTCATCGTCAATAGCCTTTTGGTCAGATTTCTTTGTTGATTAGCTAATGAAATAGCTTGGAGTTCCCCTTCTCGTTTTTGGAAACACACCGTGTTGGCTTAAAGGGACTCCTCTAAGATTTTTTTACATGAGTGGACCGGAAAGTGTTGCGATATGCGTGTACTATTTGATGTAGGTCTAGGCCAATAACTGCAAATTTTTAGATCATTTAATAAGCCCGTTTTTCCACAAGAATAATTGTTATCGTGCACAATGACCAACAAATGAATAGCGTTGGAACGCTTTGCAAAGAAAATTCGCGCCAAAATCAATATTCACTTTGATTCTAAGTATATTGCCTTATTAACATATGCATAATTTTCCATTTTAAATGATTCGCAGGATCTATCATGAATTTTAATATCGGCCAAACAACTGTGGTTTCAATAACAAAGCCAAAAAAGATATGTAAGACATTTTAACATACAGTTTGCTCTCCATAACAAGTTTGCTTAAATTTTTGTATTTTGATGTCTTCTTTATACAACAAAATCGTTTTAAATAGACCCCACTCCAATCTGTATCCTTTAAAAAGCCAAATTGTCAACTCTCGTTCTTGTTATTTCTTTTATGATGGTAATTGAAATATTTCAAAGAAATACCCGATTCATTCTAACAAAACACACATTTTCTTTATAACAATTTTATTAACATTTCTGTAATGAAATACACAATCTAGGAGCGAATACATTCTACATTAATCAGGTAATATATTCTTATAGGATAACTGCATTGACTTTTAAAATATAATTAATGTCCAGGAAAGGTTTGAATAACGTTCTATTGAACAAATAAGTGTGTGTGTGCATGAGAAATGCAATGATTTCTTTTCTTTGCTCTAAAATTTCATTAGATATCATAATTGGATATCTCCTGTAAATCTTCTTTTAAAGTTATTTTGGTTTTGCAAGTTCAAGTTAAGTCCATGAAGAAAAAAGGAAATCGCATATCGCATGAAAAAAATTTGTGAACAATTTTCACATTTTTTTATACGTTACATAAGCAAGCCTATACTTCCTATGCATTTTCTTGAGAACCTAAAGGAAGGTGGATTGTACTAGTATTTGAACTTTTAGATTTTTGTAGGGTATAAGTTAAGAAAGTAGAAAATTATTCCTGATCTATATGACTAAGATTACTGCTATACTGACAAATTTAAATACATATTCTATACATATTGTACCCATTTTACTTGTGACCAAATGCTTTGAAAAAATATGGCAAAAGAAGTTTTTTGGGAAACTCACAAACATGAAATAGTTATTACACTTACGCTCCCTGCAAGGATTTTACTTAATTCCTATAAATCCAATTAAAATGGGAAATTGCTATATATTTCACAGGTATTTATCATGATAAAATGGAAAAGCATGTAACTGTTTTGATGGAACTGTCTATAATTCCCTGTATAACCGCTTTGATCTAAATTACTTCGATAAAATGTATGCTATAATGATTATAAAATATCAATTTACAAATAATCCTTACAAAAAGAGTCTGTCTAATGTAGTTTCTATTTCAATCAACATCATGGTTGTTATTAAGAAATAAATTATTCAAAGTGAATTTATTCTAACTTTATATAGTATTATTTTTGATATAACAGCAATTCATAACCAAAACGAAAAACAAGTAAACACGAAATTATAGATAAAAATCAGACATGTTTACAATTATATATAATTGTCCAAAGGTTATAAAAACAATTTCGTGAACGTTTATATTTATTTACAAATATACCAAAATTTCATATTTTCTTTTCCATGTGAGAATATATACACACTTATACTAAAATCTCACACTATCTATTTCGAGTGAGTATATATACACAATTATACTTAAGGTTAACAATTTCTTTTATGTTTTACTATTACCACGGTACATGTTCCTCCTTTTTAGTTTGTGTCATAATCAGTAGAGTTAATACAAACACAGAACTTTGATAATGTCTGGCAGAGCAAGACGTCTTTATTGTCTAAGAATAGATTATGATGTAATCAAAAGATTAATAACCAAAAACTTCAAATACGCTTTCATACAGAAAACAATTGTAGCAAACGTTATAATTTCTTTTTCGTGTGAGCATATTTACATAACCATTTTAGACTTCAAAACATTTTGTGTGAGTTTATATGCGCTACGATACTCAATTTAATCACATTTTTGTCATGTAAATACATGAATACAATCATACAAAAATTGAAAACATATGTATTCCTAATGTATATAAAATAAAAAAAAACATTAAACAATATTGTTAACAAAAACTAATATAATGGAGGAGTGACAATGGGCTTCACTGAAATCTAAAAGACTAAATTCGTAAATAAATTATATTATACGTTCATACATATATACATATTATACAACTGGGGCACTTTAAATTTTACAATATGCAGACGATAATATAGGACAAAACTTTAAAATGAATTGATTATTTTATGTGAGATTCTAAGCCCGAATTTGCGCAATTAAAATGGTTATGCTGGACTTCAGTGCATTCCTTTATAATTGAAAAGAAATGATAATTTTATTATGGAATAAACATACATCAAACTTCTTTTGTATTTTTCCATACTTTTATTCAATTGATTTACAAATATCAATTTTCATGTTCAAAATTCTTGTCTTTAATTGCCAGGTGGTGAATTCAAAAACTTCCTAAGTATCTACGTTTCAATAGATTTCACAGTATACGGAATATCACTTTTTATAGAAAAAGAATTAACCGTCAACTCGTAGAACAAAAAATACTAAAACTTATGGACGAGCTACACACATTATTGAAAACCTGAAAGAGGAACTTCAATATTAATTGAAAATAAAATAGACGAATTGTAGCAATTCGCAAACAATAATGGAACCTAGAATAGGAGATGCAAACATTTATGAAAACATAAAAGACGAATTGCAAACATAATTTAAGACCTAATAGAGGAAATGAAATTCATAATTGAATAAATAAATGAGGGACTTCAAAAGTAATTAAAAATCTACAAGACAGACTGCAAATATTATTGAAAACTTAAAAGACGAAATTCTATTATAATTATAATAAAGATAACAAGATTCTATAATAATCTTAAACATAGAAACGAGATTATGTCATAACTGATAATAAAAAAAACAAATTAGAACATAATTCAGAACAAGGAAACGAAATAATGTCATTATTAAAACATTAGCGCATTGAATTCTGTTATAAAAAAAGGAAAATTCTATATTTAGTTGAACACAAAGAACATTATTTGAAAACTTTGGCAAACAAAATTGTAAATTAAGAACTGACATGAAATGCTTGAACTTTACACCAGATTATTTATGAAAGTAAAGTATGAAATAATACGCATGGCATATAAAAATAATAAAAAGAACTTGAATATAATTCAACTTTTTAAACTATAATTATCTCCTGGTATAGATTATCTTTATTAGTTTAAACATATTTTATTTCTCAGAATATATATACATGTTACAATTTACAATATACAGAGAGCAATTCAAATATTCTTAAAAACAGGATTAGAATGAAAGACAACATGTCTTCTTCATTGCACAATAAGGCAAATCATGATATGTAGATAAAAACAAATTTAAATAAAACCAAATGAGATTTCCAAACAATCACGTGGCCATTGTAAGTAAGGTATCACTTCTTTTGTAATCAATTATTTTTGATCTTACTTTTAGAAATAAAATACATTTTGTACTTTTATTTTAAATCCACCACTTTCCATGTAATTAAAAGGGAACTTATCCAAAGTTATAATTGAATGATAGCTTCATTTTAGTTGCTTGGATAGAGAATATACAAATCTTTCATTTCCATTGTCGACAGAGTTTTATAAGCATGACATATGTTATATTTTGTCACAGATATAAGCATGTTCCACTGTTTATGCAAAGTCAACATTACTTTCTTGCAAACCATTATCCGTGTTCTTCCTGAACACGACGTACTTGTCATTGCTCTTGTATATATGTAAATCTCCGGTCATATCTAACAAGGTTTTCCTTAGTTTAGCCATAGCAATAGCTTCCTGAAATTGTAATGGCATTTGTATTATAAGAGTACGAATAATATGATTAAAACAAATTTCAGTTGTGTGGATTATATGAACATTGTATGATAACAACATGATAATTGTATTCATAAAATGCCATTAGATAATGTTTGTATTGTTTGATTTTAAGTAACACCAATACTATAAAAGTAAAGGGTCTACATTTCAGCTTTACCTGTGGTGGAATACCTCAGTTATCTCTTACTATATTATTTCAGGAGAGATTGGGCACCCCAGATAAACATTCGACCTTTCGAAACCTGGCTGGATTGAAATAATTCAAAATTCCTTACGAGATCCAAACTCGCGGCAAAGAAAGGCAAGTGATTTGAAAAAAAATAGAGAAGAACAGAATCCCTAAAGAAAGCCCTTTGAAGTCGGCAACCATATCAACTCTGGCACGGAAGCCCAAACTTTTCTAAATATTAAGCAAGCTTAAAGAGTAAACAAAATGAGTCCTCAGATAAGGAATTGGACTAATATCTGTGGTTTAGAACTGCTTGAAACGTAAAAAGATGTCATAAGGATTGGTAAAATCATATAGTTTTACTTTGGCTATCTGCATTCTCAGAGTCTCGTTTTCTTCCTTAATATCTTCCATAGATTTTTCTTCAGTTGTGTTTTGACCAGTACATATTACCCTTGAATCATCAGCTGAAATTTAAGATACATACTTTTTTAACAGTCTTAATAAGTGTTTTGTCTTCAATTTGTCAGATATAATAGGATTTTTCATTGCCTTATAATGATTTGTAGCTTAAACATTTGAATGTTGCCATTCCTGGATCTCACGAAAATGAGTCACCACAAAAAAGCGCACAATATAACAATTCGAATTGTACTTATATATCTAATTGCGTACTTGTTTTACGTCTGCAACACATTTTGGGTCACATTAAAAAAATCGACTTTTTTTAAACAATGCCGTTTTTTCTAAAGTGCAAATCTTTGTCAGTTGAATGCATGTTAAGTTACCGACGTTATTCTTACTTTTTATTAGAAAACCTATAACCATAGACAAAAATGAAAAGTCAGAATAATGAGACGGAGCAGTCAGAAAGTAGCAGAAAGTAAAGGAGGGGGCAAACGCCAAAGAAATCCACCAAAGCATGACTAATGTGTGTGTGATATAGAAGCAAAAAGTATTCAACAATGGGAAAATGGTCAAAAGAAGAATTTAAATAAGTTGCGAGAATGCTGTCTTGGGTAACAAATGTCTGAGACACATTTAATTCACATCTTAAAAACAATTTTTTTCCTACATTCTTGCAAGCTTCAGAAAACCATTTGTAATCAATTTTGAATTTAACAAGCAAGTTTTGTTTAAGATAAAGACTTGCTCGCATACCATAACTATTTTTTGTAAAACGTCGTGAACAATCGCTGCTACTCGCATTTAGCGAAGGAATTATAAACTTTCCATGGACTTGATTCCGATTTCGAATCTGTAAATAGAAAAATGCAGACAACCTAGTATTGACTAAACGAAAACATATCTAAGAACCATCGACAGAATTAAAATTTTAAATGATTTTACAGCAAAAGTTCCAAATAACTGTATTTAAAATCAGATGCTTTTCATGTGCATGTGTAGGAAATTGAATAACTTTATAAAATTTGCATATTTAACAATAAAGCTCTCTTGTAAAATGAACATATCTTCAATTTTGTTCTATGTCCGGTAGTTATATTTATGTTTGTGACAATGTGCAATCGCAAAGAAACTATATTCTGGTGTACAACATAAAAGCTGGGGACATTTTAATTAACGTAACATTTAATTCTTTAAATACCATTCTATAAAAATAAACGTTTTATACAAATAAAAAATGCCTATATTATTTGAAAAGATAAAATGAAAAAATATAAAGCATACCTTTGGAATAAAGATTATACATTGACAAATTGTTGTACAAAATATGATGAGACACGAATTCAAAACAAATGAAATAGTCATCTGTTGCACTGACAGCACGTGGGCTAGTGGTACTCCAAACACGCAAATAACGACCACGTTGTATATACATGCACCGATGAATTTAGAATCGTTTAATTCTGCCACATGCACAGTCCTTGTTTCCCAAGCTAGGAACGTTCCAATGACGAGAAGAAGGCCTTTATAAATGTAGAGAATACCGAACCAATAAACTTCATAGTCCCCATTACAATGTAGGTACACAGTGTAGTGAAGCACATTCTTATTCTCGATTTTCTGAAATTGAATAAATTATATAGTCGAATATATCGTCTTGATATGCCGTTTCTATGAGATACTGAAATATACATAATTTAAATTTTACTCATATCACACTATTTGATAAAATATATAACTCGTACAATATCCAAAACACTGCAAATTAGAGAAGAAATTGCGGATACAGACGTTAATATAGAAATAAATGTCATTTTTTTACCATTATTGACAGAATGTAATGTTTGACTAAATTTAAAAGATAAGGCAAAAGAAATACTGTCACTACGTACAAAAAAAAATAATGGCAGAAAAAAATATAATAATGAACAATTTTTACTTCTCACTCGCGCTGTTTCGATATTTTCAATTACACTTAGTTATCTTGATTAGTTATCTTGATAACAGTAAAAGGATTCCCACTCCTTCGAAAAGATTAAAAGAAAAACGAAAAGTAAAATATTATCCTTGCATATATGAACATAATGTAAGGGAAATTAGGATCATAAATGAACACTATCATATTCTGAATTATGGAAAGACATTACGACATTATTACAGGAAACCCCTAGTGAATAATTGCAATATCAGTGGTTTAGATGTCAGTGTGCGGCTATGTATAATTTGTACGTTGTCACTGGAATATGAAGTAATATGACGTTCCTTTTCATTTTCTATGGTCCCTTATTCATTTTCTGTGTCATTTAACGAAATCAATACTTACTTTGTCAAGTTCGGAGAATTCTTTCATAACTTGAGGATGAAATATGGTCCAAGGAATCAGTATGATAGAATCAATGGCAAGTAAAACACCAACTTTCGCAATTAATTGATAATCTTTTATAATCTACAAAATAAAGTTACATATAATTGCGCATTTCTCATATTAACTACCCCAAATTTGCATTTTGGAATTTCATTCAATATGTACTTGGTTATAAATAGGTGATATAAGTTTTATAAAACTTTTAAATATTTTGAAAATAGATATCGATATAAAACAGACGTGCAGTAAGTATACCTTTAATTTCAATCTTCCGTCCCTAAAAATGGCATATATCCTGTATGTCTTTGAGAATAAAGCACCAAACAATGTTGTAAAACCTATTGCCATCATCCATGTTCTGATCTAAAATGATGATAAAAAGACACGTGGAACTAATCACCAAAAGTTGAAGCTTGAAACGTTTTATACTCGTATAGACAAATTAGATAATTTTATAATAATAACATCCAAAGATTAACATTTTTGATATTTAAACTTGAACATTGAAATTTCAGAATGTTATATCAGTACACGAACTGTATATAGTAATAGAAACGATAAATTAAAATCGTAATAATATTGAATACCAATATGAATATTAATTACTGTCAAAATATCGTGCATATAAATATGTAACTTTAAATTCAACGTGTAGAAAAAGTAGTGATTGCAACGTTCAGTCATGTCAATCAAGTTGGATATGGACTTTCAAAAAAAATTAAATAATCGAAATGCTTTTATCACTATATTTCCAAATTAACAAAGTTTAAAAATAAGGAAAATGAAGACTAAAATGATCTTACCATACATGTGTCGGTTTTCATTACCCTATAATAACTAAAAGATGACAGCAAAACTTCCACGTACAGTAAAATACAACCAGATATAATCACATTGTTCATGACAGGGCTCGACATTTTTATGGATCTACAAAATAATACATATATTATATGTTTACACGTGTTATATGTAAACAATTAACTTGCTTGCTAGTTTGTGTATGTATTGAGTAACTTCACACGTAAACAATACATTTATAAATGCATTTTTCGGCATAGAGGCTAAACATCTGTTTTGACAGAAAATTTTTGAAGCACATAAATCATGCGTTTTAATTTCCGGCACAAGTATTTTGGAAGTTTCCAACGTTATGTTAATTAATAGTAATAATGCAACATTTTAGCTATCTGAAACATATGAGTTTGTTTTGGTTTTGAAGCATTACATTTTCTATGCAATTGTATTTGTCCTTGATCGTAAACAATAGAGCTTTATTATCAAAATTGTATGATACAAGGCGATTGATATATACCTAGCCCCATCGGGGCATATTTAAAGAATATTTAAATCAATATACATGTATAATGTATAAATGACTTATAGAAAACAAAAGTACTTTTGTCTACCATTTTCATTCGAACTACACTACAAGAATATTTTAATCACATTTTGTTACTGAACAACAAGTCCTTGAACGTTCTGGTGAAATTTGACAGAATAAAGTAAGATTTCAAATAATTACAACTACAGTTAAATACGCAAGTGATATTATTGCGAAGTTACTTCTTTAATCATGATTCCATGAAGCCAAAAGGTCAGTTACCTAAACATATTAAACAAGTACGTGTATATTTTGGGATCATCTTTAAATAACAATCATTTAAGATATAATAGATAAATGGAGAGACAGAAATAACTGTATGCGATGATACATTAAAGTGAAAGTATAATGGGCAAAACAAGAAGAACCACTAGAAGCATTTAATTACTTAATGTTCTAAGTATTTACATTAGTATATTTACATTACAAAAGATCAAAATATATCTTAGCTATAACTGCAATTTAAGCACTCAGAAAGCGTAAATAATTGACCATCATGTATATATTGTGAAAACATATTTGCCTTTTGGTATTTAACATATAACTCCATTTAAACGAAAAGTGTTTTTAACAGATACAAAGTAAGTGATAAAATATTTTCTTTACCATAACAGCAATTGATTTCTTTCAATTTCATTGAGATTTCATTATATCAGAAGGCTCTAAAGATTTGACCGTACATTGTGACCTTAACAATTCAGAAAAGAAGTATTTGACTGTATACCCAAATATCACCCTTTGTACAATAACGTAATCTAGAAGACAAATAATTTTGCCATTACAATACATTGATTAAGACGCGTTTGTCCGCCTTGAGTTCCGCTAAAACCGGTGCTAGGGGGCGTGAGGGACGTTGCACTGTTTCATTATCCCTCATGTACGGACTCAATTAAACCAAGTCATGTAATTTTCATGTGATTTGCTGTGTTTAATGCTTCCGAGGGATCGCTTTTTTCCAGATATTTATTGAAAAATATTCCCTTTGAACTCTGTTTGGCGAATAAACATATAATTAAGTCATTGTAATCAGCAAGATATGTGTAATTCATTAAAATAACAATAAATCCCTTGTCATACTACATTTATCATTGATTTACCTTTGGTTTCTGTAATAAATATTAAATGCAAGAAAAGCTCCAGACATAATAAGGCCAGCAGTCAAGAAAGCCAACACGAGTCCGAATGCTACTCCATTTGTTGAAATTAAAGTATATTTTGTCATAAAGCGGTCCAATGGCCAACCATCTACAACGAAAGAAAAAATATGTGACATTTCATTGCAATTATTTTTCAAATTGTATGTTAACACGATTCTTTAAATGTACAAATATAAAAGGCATTAAAATATAAAGGTGTTTGTATAAAAAAGCTGTATTTTCAAATTCTAGATTATCTGAAATGTTCTTTTTTGTTGTTGTTTTCCATTACTCAAATCATAAACAGGAATATACAATTGGCATACAATGATAGACATTTTAGTCACCTATGTGTCATGTAAAATACTCTATTCATACCTTGCTAAGCATCAATACATGTATGTCAATTTATGTCATGTCATATTCTCATTTATATCTGACCATATACCTAAGCATCATTACATGTTTAGACATTTGTGTCATGTAAGATGCACAATAGATGTACATACCCGATCTATTTATGGCAGGTACAGTCTGACTAAGCATCAATATTATTTCATATGTCTTGTAAAAAGCATAGATCATACCTGGCCAAGGATCATTTTTAAGGATAAAGTTGTAGGATTCATTTCCGTACGTGCTGTTGTCAAGCAGAAATGAGGCAATATATGTCCGACTGTTTCCTCCTTCTAAAAAAAGAAATCAATCAAAAGCAATAAAAAGTACATGTTTAATATGAATGGGAGATTCTGCAAAATGCTATTCAGACAATAGTAACACCTTTTGAAGATTATTGTTAAATATTTACGCAGCCCCATATTTAAAGGCACCTTAATTTGTCAGTACACACAGCCAGCCCACATAGCTCAATCGGTTAGAGCGCGAGACTTGTTATCTCGATATTGTGGGATCGATTCCCGGGCTAGCCAACTAAGATTAATAAAAGCAGTCTTTCGGATGAGACTTTAAATCGAGGTCCCGTGTATGGGTGCTTAAACACTTGGCACGCTAAAGAACCAGGAGAAGCTTCTGGAATTGGGGCATCTTTTCTGTATCTGTAATTGCACTATCCTCCAAAAAAATGACTAATACTCTACTGGAGGACTCGTCCATATGGACAACCGGTGGTGAGTATAAATAAACGCAAATACATACACTCATAAGTATACACTCTCAATATATATACATTTATTTGTGAACTATAAAACAATAATTATACATTGAGTTTATATTATCTCTCAGCCATATCAATTGATTAATTTCTACAAACAGTTGTTACTGAGTATTTTTTACAGTCTTTATAGTTTTGTTTAGCCATTTATATATTCATATCATAAAGCTCTTTTTCATGCCTTTTTATGCGTTTGTTTTTACATTGCAATAACTAGAACTCTTCTTTCATTTAAGACATAATTACCTTTGTTTCTTTCAATGTACGAGTCGCCTTTTCTGAATCTCGTTCCAGCGAAGTTTACTCGTCCCTTTAAATAAACAAATTTTCAAGATATTAAAAGATAATTACTAAGCAGATAACAGATTATTTTTTTGTTTCAAGAAAATAAAAGATATTTTATGTATTGGGATTTTGTACTAACGAAAAGGTACAATTCATTACTTCTTTTTGTAAAATTTCTGTGAATGGGACAATATTAACGAGGAGTAATATTTACTAATTAAGTTTTATAAGTATTTGAAATATTAATGAATGATTTAGCATTGAATGAATTTTGTCAAACAAAAGGAATAGTTTCAGTAAAGTGTTGCTTTATATCTGAAAATTTCGTGCCATAAAAGCCTTGAAATACCCTAAATTAACAAAGGTATTAATGATGCTCGCACATGAATACTTCTCGTAGAATTAAAACAATTACTGGTAATTTAAAATAATAACAAAAATAATATACAGTTACAGCGAGCAGAATATTTCTTAATACTAGATTACCTCATAATAAAAAATATAATAATGATAAATTACACAAAGGATTACAAAAGATGAATCAACTAAAACTTAGTAAAAATAATGAGTCTGTCCATTATTTCATTTTCTCATTTTAGATATTAACACTGTTACTAAAATTGCTGATATTAATTTATCTTTTCTGAAAATGTGGACCTTTTACTTAAAATATCAAGGTATAAGATGCCTTTGACTATAATAGATAGGATTATGTTGTAAATCTAGCTTCAAAGAAATAACTGAATTAGCTTGATGCGGATTAACTTATTAGATAATAAAATGGTATTCTGCACACATAATTCATATTTTTGATGAAAGGATTTTCATCGGGTTCAATGCTCGATAGTAAGTTGTACAGTTAGCAAAAATAAGAATAAACAATTTTATTCAAAAAGTCTGCGTACGTTAATTCTATTTTTAGATGTTTATCAATACATTATAACAAACAATAATCCAGATCTTAGAATTGATCTAGTTTTTAATTTTTTATCCAGTTGTTATTGTAATATGCACGAAAAACAATAATTCATATCCCCAAACATGTGGCTTTATTGTAAACCAGCATTCAACGTCCCTTTTAGCTTCAACTGAATACAAATTCTTCTTTAATAATTGATTTAGAGCATTTTATCACCCGAAGATGGCAGCTTTAATAGTGAAACATTTAATCAAAAAAGTAGAAAAATATTAACAAAGACGTATTTTGTGTTTCGTGACTGTAACTTTACTTATAACCAATTCTTTAAGTGTATATGAGCAGACATAGCTAACCCATTTAAACTATTTGTACACGCTAACGAAACACAAAAAGTAAGACGATTTTGTAAAATAAAAAAGATCTTTTCAAGGAACATTTGCGGAGGAAGGCGGAGCGGCTTAATAGACCTTTTGGATTTTAAAAATGAACCATTTAAAGTGTTTTTATCAATGAAGCCTTTAAGAGCAACTTTAACAAAACAGAGCAAATGGATTCTGATTTGATTTTGCGTCAGGGGATGACTAGTTTTCAAATGTCAAACTGCCCACTACGACTTAGATCTAGAAACTTACTTAGTCTTATTTGCCTGCCGGTATGATTAATGTGAAAAACTAAAAGCTGCTCATGACAAAAGCTATTCATGAAAATAAAACGAAAAACGGTTATCAATTTCTAATCGACATATGTCTAATTTCCTCATCTTAGCACTTCTGAATCAAAGTTATAGTTTGACACCGACTCCGGGAAACATATACAATACATACTGACATCCCATTGAAATCGACGTCTTTCATCCCCGCTGTAATTGCATTCAAATAATAATCACTATAGTTGTATCTGTTCAGTCCTGATTGATCAAGGTATTTCAAACTGTTGTTCAAACCTGGAATAAAATTTATCTGTTGAGGTGCATATACAAGAGTATCAAATAAAAACTATTTACTTATTAGTTATTACAAAGTAATTATGTAGAGTTTACAACAGTCCTAAATATAGCTTATTTTCTAAGGATTCTCAAAACCTTCTAAATTTGTGAAATGGATATGAGCAATTTTAGTATCAAAGACCTAAATGTTTTCAGCAATAAAATACTTGTCTCAATGTGGAATCCGATGAAAGGGTCGTTTGCTATCAGACAGGAATAATGATGGAAACATTAATATCTACAAGCCACTAAATGTTATCTGTATCTCAATAAATAAACAGATATACATCACTGACAAATGATATACAAAATAAAAAGATTGATGTACTTGAGGTTGTTCACATTAACAGTACATTAACATAACCTCTCACGATCTGTTACATAATTTCTCAGAGAATGTCTGTAAAAGCTTTTCAAGAGCCTTTTTTAAACAAAGAGACACAAAGCCGTATATTAAAAATATCTTTGATAATAGATATAAAAGTAATAAGGTTTCCTAAGAACAGAGATGTCAAAGCTAAAATATTTGTCATTATTTTGTCACGCAATGTTTCATAAAAAAGATATAAAAAAAACAACTTCTTAACAAAGTTACACTTCATCCATTGAAAAAAGTTTAATCATTCATATACTGCTTGTGTGCAACAGGTTTATCCCGATTTTTTGAATTTGGAACAGTTTATTGAAATTCTATCTTTTTCTAATAAACCAATATTCAAATCTGAGCTGCCAATATTATAAAGCCTGGGTAAACTGTACAGATGGATGTGGCAGCTTGTCTGGCTCTTAACTGATGACACCTGAAAACACCTTCTAAAGATGATATAAATTTAACGTAACATAGCTTAAGCCACTTTTATGTAGAAACACCGACAAAGACAGTAATGTATAAGCATAACTTACCTATAGCAAGAGCCCAGACCATGTCATATATCCACCCAGTGTATGTGACTAAGGTCAAATTTTGTTTCTGAGCTTGTTTCTCCAGATCATTCCAAATATCCTGTGCAGTCTTATTAATAAAACAATTATAATTTAATTAAATAGGATATTCGTTTCCGGAAGGAAACATGTACACGTAAAAAATGATTGACAACATTTTAAAAAAAACAGGCTTGAATTGATGTTTATTATATAACCTTAATTAAGAAACACAATTGATAAAAGTAAAATTTATTGGACACCTTGATATATATGCAGAACAAAGTTCAAACAGTACAAACAAATTTAAACTGAATGTTTAAATCTAAATCAATAGCACATACATGGCAGTGTAAAAGCCTACTTATAAATATGCACTTTGGCTTTTGTAAATGAGAAAGAACAGAGATGATCTTTCTTAAAACGATTTTTTGACACAAAGAGAATCAAGACAAACATTTAGCGAATGGTAAGCATGTCATGAACAAATTAGAAGGCCATCTGTACTCCTATCAAATCATCCCTTCGAATGTAGATCTTTTTGCGCATTTTAATATATTAAAAGTTATTTTAAAAGGTTTCTATTTTTAGCGACACTCATTACGGTAACATGTGTTGTTTATCGTACTTCACATTTTCACATTTGCTGACTGATCAATACTGTCTCTAAATATTTTTTTAAAAGCATGTAGTCAAATGCTTGCTATATTAACAATTTCTTGGAAACATCTCTTGGGTTTATTTCGCACAAAGACTTTAGAAAATGTTTCTATGGAATACCTTAAAAGGAACATGTTTTCTTTTTTATATAAGCTTTTACTTAATTCGAAGTTAAAACAAGTACACGAAGTTGTGTTATTTTGAATCATGACTATCTTTTTTAAGCTCATTCAACAGTAAATAAGGCCATTGGGTACATTTCGCACAAATCTCTTTAAAAATCCATAAAACGTACATGTACTTTATTTTATAAAATTGGTAATTAATTCGGAAGTTGATACTTGTTCACCACCGACAGGGGTGTTATTTTGAATATAAACTAAATTAGAGATCTGTTAACAAAATAAATCCGGCCAGTGTGCTCATTTTGCACAAAAACATTGTGGATGGTATCTTTAGAAATCTTAAAACGTTAATATACTTTTTCATTTTATAAAATGGATAGTTAATTGTTCTTTCATATACATGTATGTGTACCACAGACGTGTTAATTTGAATCATAATTTATCAGAGTTCTTATAACAAAATAAATAAGGTCATTATCTTTGTCGTGTAAAGGATATTACATAAATATCAACTTTTCAAAAGAAAAAAAAACTTTGAAGATGCATGCTCGCTGTATATTACCTGCCCATTGACAGTCGTGACCTCCGTTTGGCCAATCGGATGATAATCAAGTGTGAAGTAGCCGTCACTGGCTGTAACAAGCTCAGCTTCGGTGCAATCTGTAAGAGAGGCCTTGTTTGTCCAGTCCTTGTACATGTTAGGACCAGATAATATCCACACGTAACTATTGCCATACATACCTTGCTTATAAGCCTACAATCATTGATGATGATGATGATAATAATAATAATAATAATACTAATAATAATAATAAAATGTAATAATAATTATACTAATAATAATGATAATAATAAAATTTATAATTGATTACAGCAAATAACTGAAAAAATTAAAGCAGTTGTATAAAGTATAGATCTAGATCTATCATAAATACATTAAAAATGGATTAAAGAATTGAAAGAATATTTCCTCTTCATGAGTCTATGGAAACTCAAATTTCAGTATATGATTGCTCAAGACCTAAACCTCTGTCTTTCATAAAAAGTTGTAACCGCACTGGATTATATAACAGAACGCGCTATATAGAAAATTGCTCAAGATAACCATTTATTTTACCTCGCAAAATACGTATGGTGCATATGTACTTGAAAAAACAGCGTGAATAATTCTCACATTGTTTTCCTGAAAATAAAAGAAAGAAAAACGATAAAAATTATCTTAATATCGGAAATTAATTCTTGTCGCAAAGAACATAAAATTGTTCAATAATAGTTATTTTATGGTGTGGAATGGAGATAAATGTATGTTTAGTGAAAAACTTAATGTGATGTACTTTAGAAAAATATAATTATTTTATATGTTACGTGTTTGTTTTATGGATGTTTGCATTAAAATATGTGATAAACTGTTGTTGTTGTTTTTGTAATATGCGGCAAAATAATGACGGGAAAATAAAAAGAAAATCAGCATCTGCACTTTCTTTTTTACACCGATTTTGACATGTATGAAAATCTTTTTCGACAAACTAGTAGTCGCTTTACACCAACAAGATAGGTACTTTTTCATAACAACGTAGCCAACACCGTATAAGACAATAGACAGTTTGGTATGAGCCAACCCGTTGTAGTCATCATACCAACAGTTTACAATTTTGATGTAGACACTAAAATGTAATACATAATTTGATTGGCCATACAATCAGTGTTTGTATTGCATGTTTGTAGTTTTGGTGTTATGTCTGATGTCTGATAACTTTAGCAGATATTATATATGTATTCTCAAGGACATATTTTCTTGGCGGAAAAATAAATATGTTCAACTAGCCAGGAGATATGCCTTTTTTTAACATAATAATTTCAGCACTGACAATAACAATGGAATGGTTAAACTAACATGTTCTGGGCCTCATTTGAATTACATGGCTTTAAATCTGAAGAGAGTATACATGTATTTCTAAACAAGGATTTTTGAACTCCGCAATTATCCTCAAATATAACTGATTGACTGTGAAATATAGACGGTGAGACCTCAGACGGCCGACGAAAGACTAAATCTTTATCTTTATCACTCCGCCGGTATATTGCAAAGAGATGCCAATTAAAAGGCGTTATGCTCTCTTCCACTCAAGACATCTATGTTGCTGATGTCCTCATTCAAGCCGAGAGGGAATAAGGAACGACAATGAAGAAAACTATAAAAATGCTTTAGTACGTAGGGACAGCTTCAAAGAGCAGACCTTTTTTTGGCTACCTCCTACATTTATGTTAACCGCCCTCGTGTTTCGTTTTCAAATTTATATCTTCACTACTTTCAAATTTTTAAATAAATATTTTCGCAACAGCTTTTGATTTTATTCCTTGCGTCTGGGTTCTTTCCTTTCTAAAATTCATGCAGCAATTTGGTATATGATACTACTTCAGAAGGTTAAGCTGTTATATTGCGCATGCGCCATAGTTTTTCCGTAAGTATCATTATCGGGCACTATTGTATAATATTCAATAAAATTCAAAATAAAACATTCTCCCAATTATGTCAACCTAAGCCTTATACTCATTGTTATGACAAAGATACAAAAGGGCAGTCTGACAAATTAATTTATTGATTTATAAAAATGACACTGCAATGCATGATGTTATTGACAAGTTATTGTTCAATGTATAGTCATGACATATAACCAAATTTTTAAACCATTTGATATAAATAGATCTACAATCTTTAGAATTGCACGAAACACGTACCTTGAATCGTTCAATTGCGTATTTAATGTTACTGTTGTTTGCAACAATTGCTGTAGCCACCAACTCAATATCAGCGTCTTTAATTATATTAAGATGCTTGTGAAATGAGTCAATTTGCTGAAAAAGAAACATTTCAATAATAAATAAAACATCATGATTTTATATCTTTTATATATCAATTATATCTTTTCCAATATTTTTACAATTCTTTAAGTGTTATTTCATATATACGAAACAAACCAAACATGAATTTTGCTGAAATAGTTTTGCTTTATTGTAAATAATTACATTCTTGTTTTAATAAATGTTTCAGAGACTTCTATGCCTGCTCAAAACTACAGTGTTAAATATGTTACTGTGTAGAAAATATTAAATCTGCAAGGTTACATCGAGAGACTGAATCACGTTTTAAACTTAAGAATTTAATATGCTTCACTGACTTATGTCATACAATTTACCCTGTAAGCCTTACTTAATTAATGTTTAATGATATTAGCGATTGTATTACATTCAGCTATTATGATAATGAAAATCCGATTTGATAACTGATACTTTTAAGTATAATAATGTTTATCTAAACTAAGAAAGCAATGCTTTGCGTAACAACATAGAATGTTTGCCTTGTTTCTTGACTTATTTTTCTCATTTTGATATACAAGGAAAAAGGGAAAAAAACGTTTTCTTTATTCTGGCCGGGAATATATTTTATAAAACATAGAAAATATGCATTTCGTTTTGAGATATAAGAAACCTTAACTGATAAAAAAAAACTAATGTTGTTTATAATGATTTCTTTACAGCATAGTTAATAAGCTTATTGGGCCTCCGCATTTTTCAATAAGAAAAATCGATGATTGTGTTACAATCATATAACATTCAAAAACAACAATTGGAAGTACAAAATAACATATAAATGTATAGTGTATATACAAGCGTGGGCAGACAAAGTCAATATTTGAAAAAATTAGGTGAGGACACTTATATCTCAAACGAATGTAGGGTAGTAACAGTCGTTTAAAAGCATTTCCTTTTTCACATGTCTCTGAATTGCATGTCATACAAAAGTCACATAAATCCTGCTCTGTTGATAAATAGGATCATTAGATCATTTTGAGTAAAAATAAATAAGGAAACGTCTATGTTTTGATATATGTAAAAGGTCTGTATACGCACAGGGTGTTATTGAAGTTTCTGATTTCCAAAATATTTCACGAAAGAACTATTTCAAATTGAATTTAAATGGAGTGTTTTCATTTCTCACTTATCTAGGTATTAATTTTCCTTTAGTTTGTTTGACTGTAAATGTCTGTCTGTTTTTAATGCCGCTTTCAACATATTGTTGGTCATACCTTGGCGGCCGGTCTATCTTATTTGCTTTTTATTAGTTGTGAGTGACAAATATACATTAGACACAATGTCCAAGGTCAATTTTCACGGATATATTTCACCTAGATCGAGGATCGAACAAGCTATGCCTGGATTAAAGAATCCGATGCCTTCCACGTTGAGTTAAGCGGGCGGACATATTTTCTATCAAAGCAAAGGTATGCATCCATAAATAAAACATGATACTTTTCAGTATCAAATGAGCAATACAAATAAATACAAAAAAGTATTATTATGAAAGAATGTTTTCGGTATTTCAGAGGTGTTACTGAGTGATATAAAACTACTCTACAGTCGATGACATATTAAAGAGATTTTAATCTACCGATCCCATATATGTTCATAATGACACCTTTTGAGAGAAGTAGGTTTTTCGTTATTTTCCCATAAATGTTGCCTGTAATTTATTGTCGTTATGAATTTACGATTACAACACACTTACTGACGTTGAATATTCTTTTTGAAAAGCTAAAGTTCCTATAAGCTTCCATCCAAAGTAGCGAGTCATCTCCACTCTTAATTTGTCCAATGTATGAGGAACTTGGTTGACTGTAAAAACTGTTGGATATAGGTCTTCATTCTCGGTGGTGGCCGTCGTTGCCACGCAAGATAGCTTGAAAAATGACCACACATGTTTCATCATTAAAAGTACAAACAAAAATTTGTTCAACTAATAATAGAATAATAATTATAAGAGTAAATAATTAATAACGAATCTGCCTTCATAAAATAATCTGCGTATGACCTTTATAATACATATAACTTTAGCGCCTGACAATAAACCTCTTACCAAAGACGGATTTTTATGAAGCACGTAAAACATGACCTCCAACAAATTATTACTGTATATGTAAAGAAAGAATAATAAATATTCTGCTAAATAATGCAAAACAAAATTTAAAACTATTCCTAAATCGTGGCTAAACGTGTCTATAAACAAGAAGAATGGACCCTATACCAGGATTGCTACATCCTCTAAAATATAAGAAGCAGATCACTTGTAATAGTACATTGCCTATATTGTCCTATTCAAATTAAAAACAAACCAGTTATATGTGAGATATAGTTTTGTAAATGATAATGATTCTTGTGTTTATCATCCCTTTGAGATAATATCAAATAATAGGAGATGAAAGCCCTACCTTAGAGCAATGTATAGAGTTTAATTATTCATACTGTTTGATCGTTTAATTCTTGCTTTCATGAAGAAGATGATATTTTAAAGCTCTTACAACACCATTTTTTTCTTGAACTGTTATTGACCTATCAAAATTTTCCCTTTTTTATCATTGTTTTTTATAACTGTTGCAAAACTTAAGATTATGATTTGCTATTGGTGGAGTTTAAAGGAATGTAAAAACTTTAACATATCTATGCATCTTATTTACTTTAATTTATAATTTTATTTTTACAAAAGCCTTTAAAATGATAAAAATTTCAGTAAGCATTTGGTGACAAGTATTTCCACACTACGAGCACTTTTTATTATTTAGTATTTGGACACAAATGAAAAATCATTAATTTCATTAAGTCCATATGTGTAAATAAAGTTTCAATACACGTATTTAAATTTCAATGTTGTTATGTAAATTGTCGACGTATCTAATTTAACAAATGTCATAAACTGGTTAACTTTATCATGATAAACAATTGCTTTTTCATCGCTTGAATTACAAACGATAAGATATACTTATGTGCATACAGTGCAAGTTATCAAAGAAATAAGATGCGTTGAGAGATCGTTGTATCAAACTCAAACAAAAAGCTAAACCACTTCAGAAATTAAGACGAAAATGAGATTTGTCTAAAACCACTTTATCACTTGCTAAATCAGTATCCATTAATCTGGTTATCAGAAATGAAATACACTGGAACTAATGGTCCCTAAGGACTAGAATATATATCGGTATTGTATGATATATAAAATATTCACCACACTTCCCTTATAAACTGTTGTTCAGAGTATATGAATTCTAAATGAGCCGCGTCATGACAAAACCAACATAATTGGTTTGCGACCAGCATGGATCCAGACCAGTCTGCGCATCCGCGCAGTCTGATCAGGATCCATGCTGTTCGCTTACAAACCCTATAACAAGTAGAGAAACTGATAGCGAACAGCATGGATCCTGATGAGACTGCGCGGATGCGCAGGCTGATCTGGATCCATGCTGGTCGCAAACCCATTATGTTGGTTTTGTCGTGGCGCGGCTCAAATGAAGCTTTTGAGAAGACATTTTCTAATAACGGTCACTAATAGGCTAGATATAAGATAATTGCTTGATGATATCTCTGGCAAGTAAGTCGTGTTAATGTCACTGTTTAGCACCTCAACATAAAAAATCTACAGTAATTGTAACTTAGGGTGTAATTAATTTATTCACGTGAACATACTCATACACAAAAAGATAAACTAGTATATTTCAGTTAATCTTTTTTCAAACATTAAACTGTCGCAAATGGATAAATAATTTTTTTGAGTATGTGATTATTTTAAATATGCTGAAAATTGTAAGAAAATTACACACACTCTTTACAAAATGTACCGCAGGGATTTGGCTGTTGATGGGCACATTATAACATAACGTCAACATATGACTTCTGGGATTTGATATACACCATACATCTATGAAAGAAAAACTATTTGCATACAAAAGTGGACTACAGTCAAAGTGAAAATCGGTAGATAGAGCGAAATGTTGATATCTTTCTGTAAACGTTTTTAAAAGACATCCGTTATAATATTCATAGCGTCTTGCTGTGCTCTTATTTTAAATTTCTCTCCTTTTATAAACCAATCTGTTAATAATTCTATGAGGGTAACTGTGGATAAAATGAATTGATCAACATTAAAAACATATAAAAATCAGCCGTCCTACACCTCATGATCGCACTTAATGGACGCCCAGTAACCTTTCCGTAGGTAATGATTTAAAAGGAAAAGTCAAATAAGCTTGTAGCGAGGAAGACCAAACAAAAAACAGGACAAGCTACAATTAATATGTATTTCACAGATATGTATGTAACAATGTTTTCCAAATTAATAAACGAGTTGTATAATTCTTACAAAGTTCCGGACATACATGTATGATAAGCTTAAGTCGACACATATTCCATGGCACTAATTAGAACATAGTGTCGCATGTAATTGTCTGGAATATCGTACATTATTTTATTGAATATCTAATTAGTTTTTAGACGTAAACATACATTCGATCATATCATAATGAGATTAGAATTACTGCTAAATGCCAGATTAATTATAATGCGATTCTTGATTCTGATTCAGTTATTAATAGGATTATTTGTAACACTCAAAGTCAATATTGTGTCTATGTATTGTGTGTAAACTATTATTTACATATAACAAATCTAATTAAATTCTTGCTTTGTCGTGATTATTAGATCAAATAACAAATATTAATTTCGAAGGCATGACGTTGCTTTTTGATCCTTGTTTATTAAACCATTATATGAACGTTAAACTGAGTCATTTGGAGCAATAGATGCTTATTTTGTAAATACATGGGAATACTTTATTAATTTAATTCTTTTATTTTGCATTTTACATAAGTAATAAAACTTAATTATAGCTTTTTGCTCTCCATGGTCAGCATTAAATATAATTTGCAACAATGTATACATTACTTTCTTACTTTCTGTTATAAACTAAAATTTTATTGTAACATGTATACCAATAAACTGTTGTTGTTGTCTAAGTCTTTGTTTATATTAAAAACAATTAAGTAAAACATTTTTATATATTAGAAACTGTTATTAACATTAACTTTAAAGCTTATGAATTGTTTAAAGAGAAGAAAATTATTACCTTATTGCTAAAACCAAATGCTTGAGAGGACGGTTAGTGAAAATATCCGTGTGATTTTTACATGCAAATAATCTTACCTGTATTACTTTAAGAAAAGGTGCCAGTTGACCTGTGACTATAAGTTCCCTCGATAGACTTGGCCCGAGAATTGCAATTTTCGGGCGGTCTTTTCCCTGGACCATCTCAATCATCTGAGTGGCGGCATATCCGTTTTGTCCCTGTTTATAAAAATGTCATTGTCAAAACCTTTAAATAAGGCTAAATAATATTTTTCATTCCTTATTTCTATATATGTTTTTATATGTTTATCCAAAATATACGCTCTGATATTACTGGTTGAACATGTTCTCGTAAAATTGGTTGCAATTTGATTTTAGTATGGTTTACGTATAACTCAAATGTATACATATATATTTCAGCTGGTCTGTATATTGCTATTCAGAAATATTGCAAGTTATCATAATTTGTAATTTGAATTCAGTCCGTATACTTCATTTATGGACCACGTTTGATACAATTAATGTTTTTGTTTTATAAAATTATTAATACACTTTCCGAGAATTATCAATACACTTTCCGAGACAATTTTTTGTATGATATTATTTGTCGAATAACAAAAATCGAAGAATGCTATTCCGTGTAGAATAGGTTTAATTAAGTTTTCCAGGATAATTAATATCAGATCAAAAAATAGTTTATGACGGAAATGCATGATAATTATTATGCAATACCGCTCTTACTCATTTTACATTATGCTTTCTCTCTTTATCAGACTTCACAATGCGAATCTGCAATTTTTAATGCTCTTGGGGAATCACCTTCCAGATATTTAAATTGAAATTTTAATTACATTATCTTTGGACTAGCTGAAAAAGTGGATAGATACATTTATAGACAATCGTAGCATGGGCGTGGTACAATGTACATGCTATCTGCACTTGTTTGGATTGCCACAAAATTGTACTCATTGCAGCGACAGAATTCCTTCAATTTTAATTTGCAGGTAACACTTGATGCACTTGGTTTAGACGTCTAATTGACATGGTAAAAACGACGGTAAAGGATTCGTTAACGACTTACTTTACAATATCGTCGCCCTTGTCATATTTAGGAAACCTAAACAATTTTTTTGTTTTTAATGTTTTTGTTGATAGTATAAAGAGACAACTTAGACATTAAGTAGAGTTCTTGCTGCTCTTCTTGAAACAGATTTATTAGTAATTTTCTTAATCAGATAAAGGGATATAATTTAACCAAACTATTTACAGAAGAGGGACCTTAAATTGTTGGGGTGTTTTTATAATACAAACATTAAATTCATGTATTCTTACATTAAATGAACAAAAAGAAACTTAATGACATCTTACTGTTGTTTCCCCCATAAAATGATTAAAAGTGATTCTGGAACTTTCACAATCAACAAATATCTCAAAACTCTAGCAATTATTTTGTTACCTGACATCTACTTAAATTTTTTAAGTAGAAACTTGCAATGCTTTACCTTGCAGTAAAATCCACATATATGTTCAAATGATTTCTTGGAAATTTATCTAACTTTTTTCTTTGCTTTATTATTATGTAAGTGTTAATTTACCTCATTTGTTAAATATTTCTCGGTACATCATAAGTTCTTGCACTTTTTTGATATGTCTAATTTACTGGGACAGACTTTTCAGAAAAAATCAAAAATAGTTTTCGTAGAAAACATATTTCACAGATTTTGTATTGCCGTGGTATGCTTAATAAAAAGGGTTATCATTTAAAACCAACATATAAACGAACAATTTGTACGGATTTGCATTAAGATAGGTTTGCTTAAGATCTTACAGGTATAGATACTTTAAAAATGTATTTCCTTAGCTTACCTTTCTTTGAGATGATATATCAAATCATGCAATAGAATATGAAATATTTAAGAATTTGGAAAAAAAGGAGGTCGTTCTAAAGCAATGAAAGCAAATAAAAATGCAGAACTGGTTTGATCGAGTCTGTTCATGAGGTTCATGTAATTAGTACAACCGGTCTAAAGTAACTTGTACCTTTGTATCTCCATATTCAATCTGAAGATCGTAGTCCTGCAGAATGTCGGTTCTGTTTTGTATTCCTTTCACAGCATGTTCGATTATTTTCGGGAAAAATGGCGTATAATCCTTGAACCAATGCTCAGAAAATTCGAACAAAGCACCAACGTACAACGGAGTCCGGGCGTCAACAAAACCACATATTCCCAGAAGAGATGCTAACTGCAATATCAGCATTTTGCTGTGCATCAACAATAGTTTCTTGAATCATAAATATGTTACCAAGCATTTATTTTGTCATTTTGCAACCTACATTTTATTCTGATATCCTTGTATTTATTTTTACAATAAATTATTTTTACAATAACAATAAAGATGCGCGTGTAAATGTAACATACGGTGTAATGTAGTTTTCTATATTGACAAGGCGCAATGCTGGGTAACTTTCAAAGCGGTAAATATCGGAGGGAAAATAAAATAAAAATGCAATGTCCGCGTGAATTAATTATGCATTACGCTTATCTAATCCTTTCGGTAAGGAATATATATGAATACTCATCCGGAATTTTACAACGTAGTTAGCCCTTGCAAGTATGACAAATACACCACTTCCAATATTTAATACTCGTTCGCGATTATATACGCGGCGAATGAAATCCTTGAAAATCTGCGACAACAGTAAATCCATTCCTACAGACTTAATGGCTCAATCGCAGTGAAGCACATGAAATATTGTATATTTAAAATATTATGCTAGTTTCTCAGTACGCAGTATAACAATAAGCTCGAAGTTTGTTGAATTGTTTATATATTTTAAGGTCCATCAATTCGCCGCACCTCTTTTTATTTTCTTTTTTGTTAAACCGATATGTTCGGCTTTGGTTTATTTGAAATTACATTTTAATAATATATACTGACTTCTAATTTCTCTAAAGAACTGAATGTTATATGGAAGCTTCATTTCAAATATTCGACATATCTGATGCTGATGTAGTTCTGTTAGTAACTTAAGAATGATTGCTTAATAAAAACATTAAAATGTGTAAGATATCTAAAGGCTTTTAATGCATGTAATGTAAAGGAATCCCAAATACACTGTGTCAGATTATTTCAACATTCTTATTTCTTACCTCTGATCCAATCAGTGTAAGGTTTTTATTAAAGATCCTGTAAATCAATTTTAATGGTTTAATATCATAAATATAATGCTCAAATGAAGATTTATCAATATTGTAAGTTCCAGAAAGCATTATTTGTATAGATATAACCAAATCTACATTTCATGTAAATAAAGGGAGTTGATTAAAAATGTATTTTCTATAAAGTCTAAACCATTTTTTTTTTCAATAAAAAATGAATGTATATACTTAAGTGATTATATTTAATGCGTGTAAAAATATGCAGTACATATTCAACATATTCTTGGATGTTTGAAAATTGTTTTAGAAGAATAATTATATACAAATACATATATTAATTCTCACGTAAGTGATGGTACATCCTTAATTTCAACATACAGGATCTTTAAGCTTGGATTTGTGATAAGAAAAAAAAATTAAAATAGACATCTGTCTTCAAAAACTTTATTATGAAAAGTTGCCATTGATCAGTTGTATGTATCGATAAGAAAGACATGTTTACTCATATAAACACATATAAGCATGTGAATTAATGTTTATTGCACAAACCTATAGCAGTAAAGATACTATTGTTTGGCATTTTCTGTTATAAATCAGTGATGTTAAAGACAGTTGGCATGATTTAAAACTCTTATTCTATTTTTGATCTCCCTTAATAGATGAAAACAATTTCCTTTTAAATCATAAAAACAAATCAGCTGTTATTGAAAGCATGTTTATTTTCTGCAGTGAAATGTTTACAAGCCCACAATATCAATATCGTTTTATAAATTAAAACGTTTTTGTTACCAACGTAATGAAAGATTTTTTAGATAACAGTGAGGGAACAAAATAGGTAAAACATTCGCTAGTTAAGTATTTTGATGGGAAAACATTTAATTAATTTAGGATGCACTGAAAAGAGTCATTGCACTTAGAGACAAGATTTTGCGGTCAATTATATGGCTTAATTGATCATATTTAGCAAAGATTCAATTGAAAGCGGAAAATAAATCTGGCGCGTAGGTAATACTTTAAGTGGTTTCCTAATTTCTTACATTATTTTAAATGAATCAATTGATGTTGTCGGCATTAATGCCTTTTATAAATTGAATATTAAATTCAGAAATAAATCTATCATTTGTGTCATCAAATTTCATTCGAAATCTGTAAGCCATAATACTTTTAAAACAATTTTGGATAGAGTGGAGAGCCCCTTTTCAAAAAATATTCGAGACTATAAGGTGCCTATAAAATCTTTGTCAACAATTAGTGTCCAACATTTCCCTGATACTTATGAGTTCAACATTAAAAGCACATTATCAAATTTATTAATAAATTCGCCAATTAATGTCAGTTTACGGAAGCAGTTGATAATTTATTTATTTCACTAATATTACCTGTTTGAAATTAATCATGTTTTCTTGTAGTTTGTTAGGGACAGTCTTTTCAACAGTATATTTGTAACCATTATCTTGTATCAGTATTTTTATCGTTAATTCATAGAAAGACATGTCTTGTTAGATTTACACATTCTTTGTTTAAGTGTAGTTAAACTAGAATTATTCAATTACATTATTCTTCAGTGATGTTTTCCTTTTAAGATACCTTTAATAATGTCTAAATATCTTACTAGTTTTAATGATTTAATTATTCTGAAGGTTCGTCTACAGTTATACATTACATTTACTTCCATGCTGTTAAAGTGCAAGACCGTTTCATATAGATGATAACACAAGTAAACATTGCTTCTCTCATAGGAACAGATGTCAGATTCTATCAGCAATTCTTGTCATGTGACACAATTTTTCTCAAGGGACAACATATGTTGGCGGAAATTAATTATAGAAAACGAAAATGTTTGGGAACAACATAGATTTCTGTTAATTCTTTCTGCCATGGTAAAATATATATAGGAAAATTAGTCTAAATCGTCAAATTCATTTTTGTTCCAATTACACTTGTCACTAGATATTTAATAAAATCATATTGTAAACAATGCTCTACTTTTTTCCCTAATTTAAATTAAGAGTTATTATTACTTTTTTCCACTTTTTTATTTATTCAAGTTAATTGGTATTTACTTGATCTATTCATAGTAAGTATTGTTTTAATCAAGATAGGACACAAATATATAGTAACTTTAATGGCTTATATCCTTCTTAACGGCGTAATCAGAGACGCTTTTATTCATTATGTTCTGTATTGTAAATGAAATGTGATATATATTTCTTTGTTTATGCTTTAACAAAAAGATAATTAAAACCTTAACTCATACCCTTTCCAAAGAGTTCATTATCAAAAATTGACAGACATATGCCTTATATTGCTAAGCTGTAACTCATTTTACTTCTTCTATTAAAGTTTTGATTGCTCTTTAAAGTGGTAACATATGTCGTAAATATTCTGACAAATAAAGGAAAGAAATCATAAAAGCAAAATCCAGTACATTTAGGTATTAATATTAAATGGTATTTACTAATTTCTCATGAGACAAAGTCGAATATAGACATTCCATGTCTAATATATAAAACCCCTAAGGCATTGTAACTTATTTCACTAATGATTAAAAATTGGAGGCTTCATAAATATGCTGGTAAATACCAGAAAGTTGGAAATACATGTAATTAATTAAAGGCATATATGCCTCAAAAATTCATATTTTTCAATTCTTTAGAAATGTGAAACATGTGCTTGATGATGTTTAAATAATAGATTCAGAACACCTGAAAAAGTAGCACTTAACTTGCATAAATGTGTCGAAAAGGCAGCAAAATGTTAACAATGTAGTAATTTGATTTCCATACACTAAGTACAGTTGCAGACATATTTAAAGCTATGTTTCCCTGATGTTTATAATTTCGCTGCTCCGTATAATATTACTATAAGCAGATATCCTAGATTTATATAAATTTTGAACAGTATATTGTTAATGTAAGTATTTTATAGCAAATTTTAAAGAAGTACTGCTGTTCAAACATCAAACAGGTCTATGTTACCCAACACCAAGTTTTGTAATACCAAACTGTTCGCCTGGGTCATTATATTCCGGAATTAAAGTTCATTCGGCTCAAGTCCGGTAAAAAGCTAAGAAATCTAAGATGGCGTACAAGATGCCTACAGAAACCGTAGAAAATCTAGGATATTATTGTTGTTGGCTAACTTTTAAATCCACGTTTATATTTCGAGTAATATTTTGTACACAAGTTGTATTGTTTATACGATAAAAATAATGACATTTTGTAGATGCTATATGCATAAACAAATATGTAAGCATCAATTCACATAGACGATAATATTATAATTGGACGGTACGACCTAAACAAATGAAATTTTCAGTTAAAGGATCTTCGTCTAACATCATAGAAATATTAAACAATTTATATCAAATAAATAAGAATTTTTCTCGTCCCTATCATCTTTTTTTAACGATTTTGGATATTACACCTCTAATTATTTATTATTTGATTGAATATAACGTTCATGTAAAAATATCAGATTGAATATTTCAATAAAAACCGTTAAAACATATCATAATTATTATGTTTTGTTTCTGTGTGTATGACTTATTACTTTAAACTATTCACCAAAACTTTGCCTCTTTAAACTCAGGAAAACGTGCTTAGATTACAAGTTTTCTAAAAATAACAATCATGCAAAACGTTTGTGAATATTTATAATTTATTGACTAGCTGGATATCAGCAAGAAAAGACAGATACAATTAATTATGGGTCGCGCTCTAGCATCATGAAAATGAGTAGAGTAAGTTTCGAGTTCTACGAAAAAATAACTATCTGTCATTTTGTTGAAAACTTGTAAATTCCTTAACTTAAGCAAAATACAAACTTGGTAAAATTACATGTTTAATTTTACCAATGAGTGTTATAATCTTTTCAACTCCACGATTTAAAACAACAGCTGCAAAATCGCTTATAACATGTAAATTTATTGACTTAAAATTGAGTTACAATAACCAAACCTTGAATTAATAGGATGTTGGTATTAGTCAGTAGGTTTTAATATATCTGTGACAGTACAAAGTGTCACGTGAATTTCCTAAGTGTTTGTTGAGATAGATCTGGTCGATCCAGGTTTGTACACATATTGCCTTTCATGGAGAATAACATGTACGTGTATCTAACTGTTGAAATACTTTTTTTGCTCGATGAGACAAAATATATTTATGTAATTATTTTTCGATACTGGTATTGGCTTCAGGTTTGAGCTTGATTAAGAAATTGGGTGCAACTGTGTTTATTGTTAGCAAACCATACTAGTATTCATTTTTAAACTTTCGACATCTGAACTGTAGGTTACTGTTCAGACCCAAAAGCTCTTGCACGATTTTTAACAGAATTATATTTGTTTTTGAATTAAATGAATTCCGGGGCAAGATCTATCTCCATAACAACAA